TTAGAAAGTGCCCAGTGGGGGAATGCACATATAAAATACAAGCTGAATCGCTCCACGTCCGCACCGCACCGGCGATCTGTTTTGTCGATTTTTTGTGACTGCGTTTAAGATCGCGATATTTGAAGCAATGCATCGCTCCTTCGTTGATCCTAAACACTGCAGGCCCCCGAAATTATAACTCGACACTGAATTATACGTGGCGGGCAGCGAACTCACAACGCTCAGCCTTGGTGGTGGAAGCATGGAGCTGTAAACACATTATGGAAGCAACAGCACTCTATCACGCGACGTCACATGCTTGTGCTTCAAATAGCGGGCACCGTAGACTCAACCTCGTTTCCAGGGTGTGGAGCAGGCTGCAGTACGCGTTGCCATCGACGGTTTTACGCATAGCCGGGAAGTACCACGCAGTGTAGACTTTCGATTGGTCAGACCGCGCAAGGCATACTAATGTTTAGTCCTTCTGAGTATTCGTTGCACTCGGCGCAGGGGCGGCAAGCAAAGCACAGGAAAGAATAGGGACACTTGGTGGCCACGCACCATGGAGGAAAAAATATGTTGCCAAGGTCACCCCATACCACCGGTGAACGCTTTTGCAGAACGGCCGAGTAGGACACGTAAACGAAACCCCTACGTTGACCTCGCTGACCTCGCACAGTCTAGACACGCAGAAAAGCCAGCACGGGGGGCGGCCAGGCAGTCAACGTGAAAGCGTACACGACGGCAAATTCCTGCGCAAAACGCAGTCACGAAAAATCGACGAAACGGATCACCGGTCCGTACCGGAAAATTAGGACGACCCGAAGTGTCCGACCCGGCGGAAGACACCCTCTGCATTTTTCCATGGACGTGGAGCGATTTTGGCGCCGCGGGAGCCCGCGGTCTCGGATCCTTTCAGGAGCAAACATCGTCTCCGAGGCGAGTAAACTTCTCTCTTATATATATAGATACACAGCGTTTACATGTCATTTCACACATTTGTCCCCTTTTTTCTGCACGCAGTCAGCGCACAGTAAACTGGAAAATGTTTTTTTTGCAGCGTATGCTGCAGCCTAATTATTCATGAGATTTTTCACTTTGTAGGGACTATTTTGAGAAATATGAGGATATGGAAGTATCACGACTATTGTCGAGACATTTTATACGGTTAGCGAAAACTGTCATTTTTCTATATAAAACGAAGATGTGCAGAATAAGCTTACAAATCTATGAGTATGACAACATATTTAAATTTAATGCGACACTCTAGCACAAGGGGGCTTCCAGATGTCGGGTACGCTGCTCAGTACGTGGATAATAGTGTAAACGCGGACTAAATGGGCCTGACTAGAAAAATCAACTGGTAATGTGTCCTCTTGTAATGGGGACATTAATTGACATAATTACAAATTAGGGGCGACCAACATCAGTTTTAATTTTCCTCCCTTTTGTATAAGTATAACCAGTTTTGCTAGAAATATAAATAATTAATATGCAAAGTACCCGCAATGCTATCCGAATTTCTAGACGAATAAATTAAAGGGGATGGGGCGATTGAGATTCATAATCACTGTGTAATGGCTATATGGGCCTACATGTACATTGTAAAGTCTCATGCTTTTCTTGTGTAAAAAAAAAAAAATTAATGTACAGTAAGAAAAAAAAAGAAAAAAGAATCGAAGCTATGTCTCATGTTTCCAATGAAGTTCTGGAAAACACAATTATTACTTTCAGCTGCGTTATTTACATCATGAAGGTATACTGAAACACCTGAACCGCTCAAATTTTAAAACAAAACAAAACAAAACCTAAAAGTTAAAGTTTCTCACTATATAACATGGAGGAGAAAAAAGCAGTTTCTTCAATGTATGAGGTTAATGCTCTGGAAAAAAAAAACAAGTACATGTATTAATGCAATACTCTTATAAAAATTCATACCCTGTGCACAATAAGCGACTGAGTCCTTTTAAAACTTAAACAAGACCAATCACGGTCCTCGGCAATAACAAAAGTTAGGTATCCAAACTATTACAATGTGGTAAGAATATAACATTTTGCGACAAAAACGGAAAAAGTAATAAATGCTAAGTTTTGTAATGTTTGCAGGCTTTAAATTTTGTTTAGTACAGCCATTCACTGAAGTCTGGATTGTATTTTGGGTTTTAAAGGTAGAGTAGATCATTTGCAGCTAGCCAAAAAAACTGCTTAAACGTTGCTTAAAAGTTGCTTAAAAGTTAGAAATGTTGCTTAAAAGATACACAAATCCTGTTCTGTTTTAAGTAATGCATATGGAGACAAAGTCGCACAAGCACAAATTATACGACAAAAGAGGCCCTACTGTATCGTGCATGTTGGACTCTAATCAGGCTGTTGTACTGTATACAAGTTATTAATCAAAAAAAAAAAAATAATTACATTGGCCTAGTTATATATATTAAGGCAGTTGAATCCAATAGCCAGATTAGGCACCAACGGTGTTAAATCTAACACCGCTGTATTTTTTCCAAATGTATATTTTTAAATGAATAACGTTGATTTCAATTGCTGATTGATTGATATCATCAATTTCCACTGGGTTTTTTTAACACTGATATTTTGATAAACTGAAGGAAGGTATTAGACGAATGTAGGCTCCCAGCAGTTGCGTTCATCTTTGGGGTTTGCACCATTAACCACAATAGATTTGTTCAAATGGAAGGATTTTTTTCTAAAGTTTTTAAAAAAATTACTAGTCAAAATTAATTCATAGTCACATATAGCTGGCATGTACATGTAATTCACTCACTGGAGCATTGGATTCTAATGTGTATTGTCATGGGTACCAATTCAGTATGGGTTTGATTTTTAGATTGGGGGGACTTTTTTTTATTTCATCTGTCAAGTTCCATTTTTCAGACAACTTGTATTTATAATATAAACAACAGAATATAAGACACCTCAAGACATCTTACTTAATCTGTATCTCAGAACCAAATGCTTTTAGAACGTGTCAAATATCACTCGTTAACTCAACGACCAAAATACGGACATCATATTGTTGCATTATTTTCCCTAGATTGTCAAATCCAATTGAAAAGAAAGCATCTTGCTAGTGTTAAAAGGGTCTATGAAATGAATATTGCACTTGGATGAATATTTGGTGCAAATGTCCATTCATCTTTTGTTAAAAAAAATACAGTTTATTTTAAAAGTTTAAAATGTATCATGCTTTTCCTGACAACTGTGATGTCACGAAATATAAACACTTTTTTCAGAGAAGGGTTTTCTCTTCAAATTATAAACCCAACATGTTGCTTAATTGAAACTATTTGCGGATACAACTTTCTTTTTGTCTAACTGTCATATACTGCATTAACAATGAACCACCGAATGCAGAAAGAAAACCCATCAACCCCCTAAAATTCTGGAGAGGTTTTATGCTGAAACAGATGTGAAACTGAAGTTTCTGCCTTGAATCATGGAAATCTTCATATCAACTCGTACTTCTGATATCATACACACTCTTTTTAAAAAAAAAGGGTCAAAACCTGTCGAGTAAATGTGTTGCGTACAAACGTTGAGTCCTTTCTTACCCAATTATAGGTTAAGTGACGATTTTGCCAGTACCCTTCAAAAGGGAAATTTGACCCTTTGACTGTGCAACCGAAAAAAATTCCAATTGTAAACAACGTAGTGTAAGAAAGCACATTTGACCCAACGTACAACAAACAGGCATATGTGCTCTTAGATGGGTAAATATCACCCCCCAAAGAGTAAAGATTGCCCAAATGTTGCCTAAAGAGCGTTCTCGAAATCGACAGTAACATTCAAGATGGCGGTAAGTCGACTAACGAACGTGCTGCGAGAGTACGTGGGATTCGAAATCGACGATGCCTTTATTTAGAAGTAATCATTTACTTTTCAGGATGCACTGATTAATAAAGTACATCATTAAGAAAACGTGGGCAGTATATGAGGTACCTACAACATTGGATATTTGTGACAAATAGGTCGATGATTGAATAGGGCGATGTGTGTTGTGTGTATCGCACGTGTACAAAATATACATGACATTTGCAACATTCATACACGGTCAGTCTCTTGGCCTGTATGACAGCACTACTTTTTAGCAGAGCATCCATGTTTGGGGGTCAGGTTAGGGAAATGGTTAATACAATATGCAGAAAGGTTGACAGAGCCCCCAACCCCCCATCCCCTGCCCCTGGGGGTCAAAAAAAGAGTGATCATTTGTTGGGTACAATTTTGACGAAACCCCGTTGGGTAAGAATTTCGACTCAATTTTGGGTAAACGTTTTACGCAGCAATTGAGTAAAATTTGACGCAACCCCTGTTGCGTAGCGTTTTACCCCGTCAACGACCATGTTCCCTTTTTACCACCACAAAGAGTACAATTTTACACAACATTGGGTACTTTTTTCTAAGAGTGCACAGAAGTGGTCAGCATATGTTTCAGAACAGAGTATTTCAGGTTCGATGGGAAAGCTGATATTCAATGTATTATTATGTTAACGAAATGCTGCCCTAGTATTATCCTCATCCACTCACTCCCCCCCCCCCCGAAAAAAATGAAATAAAACTGACTTGCGAGACTTGCGTTTGAACACAAATCAAAGTGATGTATTCACTTCGAAAGCCTTTCTCTGGCACTTTCTTTACTTCAGCGAGATTGTTTTATATGCAGCCAGATTGTCTTCTGACGACGGCTTCCAACTCTGACTCCGCAACGCCGCCATCATGAACCCATCACATCGACCGTGCTTCGAATGGCCGCGCGAATTGGCACATTGACCCGGAAATAGACGGTAATAAGAAAAATGTATTACATATGCATAATTATTGATGTTGACGCTGGTACGCCATTAGTTCCCCTTTGCCGTCTACCCATTCGGCGCGGGGAACCAGTCCGTATTGATGTGTACGTCACAGACCGGGGATTCCCATGGCCGTGCGCACGCAATACCAGCGTCAACAAGAATTGTCATTTTTTTATTTCCCATATATTTTCCTGTTTCCTTCTGTAGCTCACTGTGTCGCTACCTGGGATAATCTTAAGAGTATAGTCATCGACTGCAAGGCCTGATCTAAATTGAACGTAAGTACGATATAATTGTCATTTTGTTTCATAGTTTAAACGTAAAAGCTCACATATTTCGCAAATTGATTGTTGACGGTTATAACCAACAACGTTCCTGATAATAACGAAGATAATTTCTCTTGGTCGCCATTTCACAGACATCAGGGTTAAACACGGCAGTCTCAAATTCTCAAACTTGACTTCTCCACAATAAATTTAACGTTTCCACTATGACATGTTGTGATTAAAAAAACCGTTCATCTATTCTTGGAAAGTGCCCATAATTATCTATTCTTGGAAAGGCATAAAAACACAGCGTTTACATATCATTTCGCACATTCTGTTAATTGTCTGCACTTGTGTGCTTTTTGCATAAGTTAAAGGCTAAGTTAAAGTTAAAGGCTAAGTTGTTTTCATTTGTGTAAAGCGTAATGAAATCCCTTTCACAAACCTAATATGTTTTTGAGAGTACTTGTTGCAAAATGTGATGCACAACAAAACCTACCAACTGTGTGTTCATGTTCAATGAAAGAGCGGAGAACATTTTGGCAGCATGCTGCAAATGTTGCTTAAAAATCTGGGTTTATTGTTTTGTAAGTAATGGAGACATAATAATTGTAACGCACTTGCTCAAATTGCGACAATGGACTGGATCGTCCTACTGTATCGTGAATGTTGGATTATATCATATCAGGCAATTGTACTGTAAGCTATCAGTTGTAAAATAATGCATACGCCTAGATCGATAAAAACTGGTTTTTTTCCCAATAGCTAGATAAAATACCAACGGTGTTAAATCTAACACCGTTGCATTTGTTTTTAAGTGTACATACATCAGTGCACGTGGACTATTATGTCAGGCTATTATATGTCTAACTATCACGCTGGAATGCATGTCAAGCCAAAGAACATTTTTACACCATATGTCATATTGATGATTGATCAAAATCGTTGATTTCCATTGATCATTTTTTTAGCAGTGATATTTGGATGAAATGAAGGTATATAAAATGAATGTAGGTCCCCAGTTATCTTTGGTTTTGCACAATAGACCAAAATATACATGATTTAAATCAAGAGGAGTTTTGTTTTCTAACGTTTAGTTTAATAAAAACAATGTAAACAGTAGCAATAATGAAATTAATTGGCCAGTACATGAAACTGGCATGTACATGTCATTCTCTCACTGGTGCATTGTATTGAAACTCAATCTCCGCTCGTTCTAATGTGTAATGTCAGGGTAACAAACCTGGCCAATTCACTTTTTTTCGGAGGGTAGAGGTTCCTTTTTCCCTTCCATTTTGAAAGAACCATTTGTCAGACAACTTGTATTGTTTAACATAAAATAAAGCCATCTTAATTAATCTGTGTCAGAAACAAATGCTTTAGAACGTGTCAAATATCACTCAATAACCCGACAAACCAAATACGGACATCATACATGTCATTGCATTTTATTACCTGTAACTTTCAAAACTATAATAAACTATAAAATAGGGGTAGGAATGTCTTATTCGATTGGCATGGACTTCATCTGTTTTTCCTTTTTTTTCATAAGGGCATAACAGCAATTACTTTTATGCATTAAGCATTTGATATTGCACAGCTTTGCTATCTTTCAGTACAAGCGTATTAAAGGGAATGCATTTTATTCGTAAAAAAAAAAAAAATACAAGCGTAAACTTCTGGGTTTTAATGGGCAGGTCCTTGAAAAAGTGGGCCACCTTGTTAACCCAACGACCAAAATACGGACATCATACTGTTGCATTTTATTCCCTAAATTTCAAAACTATGCTAGACGGGGGCCATTCAGAATTTTCAATGTTTTAAAATTTCGATCTGTTTCCAAATTGTGGATGGGTGGGTCAAGCTAAATAATTGAAAATCGAAATTCACTTTCCATAGAAAAAGATAAAAAAAAAAAAAAATAGATAGATCTTTTGACTTGCCTGAACTACGCGCAAGCATTCCGATATCGCGATGCGTGTTTCTTTTTCAACTTCATCCCCTGTATATGTACTGTACATAGACTTGGACGCCGGGCGTTTGTAGCGGTTAGGCCGTGTAGAGGCAGCAGGGTACCAGGTGTACTAGATCGGCTCTATAACACGCCGCGGGCGTCGATTACCAATCGCTATAAAAACTGGACTATTTAACCACTGGACTCCAAGACTACGAGGACCGCAGCCTGTGATGTGATGTCTGCCCAAACCTGATGTTTTTCTTTCGCTCGTACCCCACGCCCTGCAAATAGGGCGGGGGGGGGGGGGGAGGGGGGTACGAGCGAATGTTTATCTCAGCTACCTCACGTGACAGGCACAACATCGTATGTCACATGTCATCCACCTCATCCAGAAAACGACAAAACCACGGTCATCTTTGTGGCTTCCAAAACTGCAATCTGTCATTCCCAACAGCATATCAGCTGGCAAAACACAAGAAAACTGAAGGTCACCAGTGCAAAAGAGGAAGACCGACAACTTCACGCCGTCACTGACACACATGTACAGGGGTATACATGTTCATGTTCAAGTATATGTACATGCAAGTGCATGTACATGTACATGTTCAGTTTTTTTATTAATCGAAATTAGGGGTGGGTGGGTGGGTGAAAATAATTTGGAAAAAAGTCGAAATTTTAAAACATTGAAAATTCTGAATGGCCCCTAAAACAAAAAGCATTGTCAAATCCAATTGAACACACAATCCATCTTTTAGTTTTTCGTGTTTAAGGTCTGTGAAATGAGTATTACCTTGGAGCATATTTTGTAGCAAATGTCCATTCCATTTTTTATTTTCTTTTTAAACAAATAACATTTTTTTTTTTTTTTTTTAATATTTTATGATTTTCCTCACAATCTTCAGAGTAGGGTCTTCTCTTCAAATTATAAGCCCAACATGTAGCTTTTTGAAACTATTTGCGCATACAGCTTTCTCATCGTCTAACTATTATATACTGCAACAACAATGAACCACTGAAAGCAGAAAGATAATTGAAATAATATCCAGCCAGATTGCCGGATTGACTCTGTCACCCAGCTCTTTGCCATCTACCCATTTGGCGCGGGAAGCGGTGTTTTTATTTGCAGCACACCTCGTCAATGGATCATGATTATTCAGCTAGTTCAATGTTTATTCATATGAAATAATAATTAAGTGACATCATTGCTATCACTCAGTTATGCATGTACATTAAAGCATTTCAAAGAACGGCTTTATTCGTCCAGCTGCCTCGGTGGTCTAGTGGATAGTGGAATTAACTATGGATCTCAAAATCTGTAGTTCGAGCCCATGCCCGTTTTCATCAAATATTTTTTTTGTTGGTTGGAATAAGTTTAAATAAAGGGAAAACAGTACACTTCGAGAACCTAAGTGTTTTCCATCCACACAGATTGATTTATATTCATGTTAGGGTGCGTGATGTGATTGCTTAAAATACGATGTATGCTGCAAAAAAAATACGTGCGCGAGAACCAGTCTGGTTTGATGTGTACGTCGCAATAACAGCGTCAGCCAGAATTGTCCATTTCTGTTTCCCATAATATTTTCTTGTTCCGTTCTGAAGCGTACAATTAACCTTACTGTGTCACTACCTAGAATAATATTAGAGTATAGTCATCGATTGCAACGCCTGATCTTAGTTATAAACCGTAAAAATATAATGTCCATGTTGTTCCGCAGTTTAAATTAAACGTAAAAGCTCACAAACTACGCATTGATTATGGACGTTACAGGACCAACAATGTTCTTGGTACTTATAAAGCTAATTTACTCTTCAAGTGGTCGCCATAAAACAGACATCAGTGTTAAACACGGCAATCTGAAATGTTCAACATTGATTTCTCCACAATTATACGTTTTCCACAATGACATATTGCTATTAGAAAAAGACGTGCAACTATACTGGGAAAACTGCCCAGTGGTACAATGCTTTAGAACATGTCATTTCACACATTTTGTCCTCCTGTTGTGTGCGCTTGTTTTCCCTTGCATTCTTAAAATTTAAAGGTTACGTTGTTTGAATTTTTGGTACCAGTAAGCATTTATGCCATTCACAAACCTAAATTGTTTTTGAGAGTGCTTGTTGCCAGTGCCATGCACGACAAAATTTACACACACACACAAAATGTTTATGATAATGGAAGACCGCGAGGTACATTTTGGCAATATGCTGGAAATGTTGCTGAAAGAAATCCTGGTTTTTTTTAAGGAATCGGGACATAGTTGTTACGCCCTTGCAAGAATTACGACTGTAGAGACCCTGTGCAAATTTTACTACATGTATATTAAACATCAGGTTGTTGTAACCCTGTAAGTCATGCTACATCACAGTAGGACCGTGTGCAATTCGAATGTCATCTAGGTCATATAGCACGGTGTCGAAAGTTTCATCAGATATGATAGATATTTGCCCTTTTGTACCTCAATATTGTGGTTGTCTATTTACCTTGTTTGTGAATGACGTGTTTGTGATACTGTTCAGGCCCCTTTGTGTTTGTGCGAGTGCAATTCATTTGAATGACACTAGAGGACATGTGCCGTATGATAGCGTAGCAAAAATGGATCTAGTGAACTTTTGAACCACAGAAGAAGGGCAGGGTGAACCTGCATGGTAATGGTTCAATGCAATGGTTCAATGTGTAAACAACTCGGTTGGAGTAAGTCTTCATAACAAGTAGTCGGCTGGGTTAGAACAGGGAGGTTTTTTTTGGGGGGGGGGGGAGGGGACGTCAAGCGCATCAATAAGTAAACAAAATAACACGTGCAGCTGTCAGTGAAACTGCTATTTAAATAATGTGGGGAACAGAAGAAATGGGTATGGCAAAATTCTTAGTTTTGTGACTTAATTCTGTTTGTAGGGAATTGCTAAAACAGGGGTTAGCTGAAGCCATATTGTCTGTTTGTACAAAGTAGTGTGGCCAATCTATAACGGAACAAGACAAACTCCGATATAAAGGGGCAGCGCTCGGTGGTATTACTATTAGGGGGCAGTTCAGTCAGCCAGTTTTTCGAGATGGTCTGAGACAGTGTGTTTGAAGCAGTGTTGCTTTGCAAGCTGAAGAGTTATCTGAGTAGAACGTAATTGTAACCTGATTATAGCGTTACCTTGCATATACTAGCTGTTGATGGTACACATTGCATTGTGTTTTGACTGAGTTTTAGTACGACATGTAAGGTGATATATTTGTGCTAATTCTTGTAAATATTGCGCGGAAGAAATAAGTTGGAGTGGGGAAATACATCAGCTAGCTATAAGCATGAAGTACAATAATCCTCTCCGGTGTAAAGTTTCTCAAGAGTCCTCTTTCAAACGGATCAAGTCCCTGGCCACATTCACGCGCGTGCGGGACGACATCCGGGTCACTTAGTAGCCCCGGCGATTCAAGAGTTCATTGACTTTAGAGCAAAACCGCAACAATAGCAATTTTATGTAAACTAAATATATGAAAATTCAAAATAACGTTAAAAAATGTAAAGGGTAAAAGTCATGTGCCCTTTTGTTATGTATCCGTTTTTTTCCATACTTAAACCAACTGATGCCCAGGCAATGTATTTATTCATTCATTCATTCCTAATTATTTCCACATAATCAATGTGATCAAAAACGGTTAAGAAAATGATTTAAATAAACAAATGAGCATCTCGTACGTCTTATATAATTGTAGTAAACCACGATGGTGGTAACTGGGGTGCTGAGGCCTGAGCAACAACAGGTTCCTAGAATTATCCAGGGGTAATGGGTAGTAATGTAGACACACAACTTGACTGCGACCCTCTCTTTTATTTGAAATTGAATTTATTGGGGAAAATCCTGCAAATACACAACCATTTCCTTAAAATAGTACGACGTATGCTTCATATTAAAATAATAATTAAAACCTCAGATTGACAATGTCCTCGTTAGTAGGGAATAATTAATGAGTTATTCTACAAATAGTCAGTAATCCATGGGATGAGAAAATGTCACTGTAGGCCAACGTTACAATATATCAATAACATGTAGGCCTACATTGTTGTATAATTGTCCATGCAACTCACTCAACAGCTGATAAGTTGCCTACTTTGCTACATGTAAGTCACCGTGCACCGGTATGCATCGCAAGTATACTAGTATTCTCATTCATTGGCTAGGACATGAAAGAAACAGTATTTACTGTAAACCTTCATATGAGAAGATCATCAAGACAAATTCATGTACGAAAGCACGGGAAAGACGACATAATTAGGCATATTTCTAGGGCCTAATTACTTATGAAGTGCGCGTGTACGTCCAGCTTGCGCGTGGTGATGAGGCTCTGCACGGATAGAGAGCTCAGTCGCTTAAAGAGGCACTCTGAAGTTGAAAGAGACTATTCATGTCGCTTTTTCCGTATTCCTACATAATATACAGACATGGTCAGCAGCTTTTTCAGAAGTGAACAGCGTATTTTAGGTTCGACGGAAAGGCTCAACTTAATTTTTTTATTATGCTTAGACTTATTTTCGAAATATTAAAAAAAAATAGGCAGCTGAATCATTGTGGGATTGTTTTTAACATCCTCGGGAGATATGTAATCCTGAGCTTTGCCTCGGGTGTCATGTGTCCATGGGCGTCGTCAGGATTGTTTCTAAAGGGGGAAGAGCGCAAATAACAATCCCCAAAATTCTTGTACTTTCTCTAGCATATTCTCAATTTATAATTTTTCGAGGGTGGGCGGGGGACATCTGCCCACCCCACTCCCATTGACACCCCTGCAGACGCCCTTTTTGTTAAATGTGTATTAAATTAATTGCAAATTTGACTGAACATTTCTTTTTTCTTTTTCTTTTATCTCCATTTGTATTTTTTTATGTTGTTTGCTTTTCCGGGCTTTGCCCGATCTCGTTTGGGAAAAAAATTCCCCCGCCCTTTACCTCAATACCATTTTTCATTGCAATGTAAGATGAAAGTTATTTGTATTCTTTTCTTTCACAGGTTGACCACTTCCAAGCTGTGATATCAACTGTACGCGTTGACCATGGATGGTGAGATCTTTCACATACATCTTACACATTCTTTTAATTTTACTTCTTCCCCTGTTACACTTCCCCTGTAAAAATTAGTTAGTCATGTTGGTTAATAAATGTTAGTTCTACCCTACGTCTGATATGACTAATGAACATTAGAGAGACAGGCCAGATGACTACCATTAATAAGTCAATTATTAGTCAAAATGACTAATATTAATAAGCCTTCTGCTTAAACCAAAAGGCGTCTAAAATGACTAAAAGTTAGTCGTCCGACTTTTGCAGTTAGTCACTCAAAGTGATGACTAATTACATTAATCACATGACTTGTCAGATATTAGTCAAAATTACTAAAATTAATTTAATCTTCTGATTAAACAAAACAGCGCTGACTTTTGCAGTTAGTCATTCAATTCAAAATGACGACTAACCGCATAAGTCACATGACTTAAGTTCAATTTCTTGTAAAACATAAGGAAAAGAAGTGTGTTTGCGACCACCGTTGAAAAAGGGCATGATTCGTTAGAAAATATTGCATGCAGTCCAGGGCATGAACGCATGCATGAGAAGTGTAAGTTAAATTTCTGTAGCACATACATTTTTTTTTCGCAAATGCAAAACCTGCAGACCTTGGGGGAAAATGGTTCTTTTTGTAATGACTAGACGAAAGCAAGCATTGGTATGTTTTTTCCTGATTAAGGGGTCATGTTTACTATTTGCTGGTTTAAAGATTTCTCAAATGTGTTTAATCTGTGATTTAAAATATAACGTGCCCTCGACCAATAGGAATGGGTAATAATAACACAGGTATATATGAATAACTGTTGAAGTGCAAATAGACGGAATCATTGATACCGATGCAATTGCATGATTTTTATGATTGGAATACTCATTATGTTCCCGTTGTCAATATTTAAACCATCCGTTCTCGTGGATTTGTTTTTGTCACACATGACGATTAGAATTTACTTCAATTATAGAAAGGGGGCCTGATCATGCTCCCACGACGCCAAGAGATCACGATAGGCCGGAGCCAAGTGATGATACTCCCTCCACACAGACTCCAGATGCATCTGAACCATCCGCATCTGGTAGTGACGGTAGCATTACGAACCAACCTTCACTCCACTTGGTCAATTGTCCTATCATTTTGGGTGATTGCTTGGACACACAATTTAAATATGGTAATTTATTTTGTTTTATCAGCTGAAACAAAAAATACGCAAGCTTAAATCTGAAGATATTTTATTGGCCATCGTTACTGCATGTATGAAATTCACCACAATATTCCATCGGTAAGGATTTCAAGATCTATATTTTTCTCCATTTCAAAACTGCATAAAATGTGGGGAAAGTCATTTTGGAGTGTCAGATCACACTAGCGGTTCAGTTATATACTTCAAGCTAAAGTGGACTGTTACTGTGATACGAATTTTATAAGTGGGGTTTTCTTTTGGTAAGTTGGGGTGTTTGTTTGTTTGTTTGTTTGTTGGGGTGTTGGGGTGTTTGTTTGTTTGTTTGTTTGTTTTATTGGGGTGTAGGGGTGTTTGTTTGTTTGTTTGTTTGATTTATTAAATTGTTTGGATTTTTTTCAGTAAACACGCACTTTATCAAATCAAAATATCAATTTTGGTTTTGCTGGTTGTTAAAATTATTTTAGTCTTCTTTATAACCTGGACCGAAAAGAATTTTTTTTATACAGGTGATTCTCAGACAACTGTCGTCCGGCCAGCTGTACCTGGCGAGTGGCCGACTGAGATGCAGTATGAGTACAATCGCCCTGACGGTCGGACTGGCAAGGAAACCAAATTTAAATATCCCGGTAAGATTAGACCATGTTCTAGTGCTCAAAGATAATCTCACCCCACGAGGAAAAAGAGTATGCCTGGAATTCCAACAAACTATAGCTTGTCCGTCAACAGAAAAAAAAATCTCTCATGGCCAGATTGACCTATCGAGGTAGAATCGCGGTAGAATTGCGTCGACGCAGCTTGTAAAATATTATCCAATTATATGATAAACTAATGGATGTGGAACACACCATATATGAGACAAACAAAATTTCTGTTAACGTACACAATCCCGTACGGTTGTCTAAGGGGCGTGGCTAACTCGCAAACAGCGATATGTCAATTACTATGAGAAGTTTGGTAACTTTGCAGGAGGTCCAATTGCAAAATTTACAAGCTGATGCTGTTCGACAGAAGACGTTCAAAAACTGCTTACAGACACACTTTCGATTGAAGTTTGAAAGCTAATTTTCTTACAAATATCTGAAAGGATTTTTTTCCTTCAATTGTCTACCCCACCAGATCTCCTGCAAGATTCAGGCGAAATTATACACTATGGCGAGGAATTGTGTAACGCATCAGCCATAGGAAACACCATGAAAGTGCAAGAAATTATTAGCCGGCATCCTGAATTGGTAATCAGTGATAACATATTGATTGTATATCAATCAATATGTATATTCATGTCCTTTGCCATATTATCATTTTGTAGTTGTGGCCAACGAGTTGAGTTTATGTCGCTTCCGTGGACCGTGAGCGTGACGTCTTTGTATTCATAGCTTATGAAGTGATTAGTAGTGTGTAGGCTGCGGGTGCTCTATTTTTGTCCAACCATCAATCAAATACAACTCAATTATTCAAGGACACCGAAAATGACTAGTAAGACCAGAATGAATAAATACAATTTGTGGTTAAAGAAACCGTCAACGTAATCTTGTGACATATAACATGTTGCAGGTCAAGTTTCAGAACAAGCAAGGACAAACTCCACTACACACAGCCGCTTATGGTGGTCACGTGGGTGCCGTCGACGCCTTAGTTACCAATGACGCCCCACTAGAAAGACAAGATAAAGAGGGACAAACGCCACTAGCGTCTGCAGTAGATGGGTGAGCATTGTTTAATAGGTTTATATTGAACAGATTTAATTAATCGCATTCGCTGATACGAACAATACTTTATCGGTCTCTTTTGACAGAAATGAACCAAAAGTAGTGAGGTATCTTTTGGAAGCTGGCAGCAAGATAAATGCATCAAACAAGATGTCCTTCACTCCACTGTACTTAGCTACTCTACATGACCAACAGAAGTGCGTCGAAATACTGCTTGAACGCTGGCCAGAAGCGTGTAATATCAATTTCAAGGTAGGTCGATTAATTGCCGTTTCTTCCCACAAACCAGACGGAGGTATTTTACACTAAATTCCTTGTATCTTCAAACGGACGGTCGCAGAAATCTGGGAGTTGCAGATTATGATAATTCATTCTTCTGGCTTTAAGTCAATCTATGTCTGGCTTTGAAAGCAGAACAACCACTGATCATTGTTTTCTTGAATATATGGGGAATGAGGCAATTGCCTATGGAGCTGAACAGAAAATGACCGTTTGTGACAAACCTTTGGTTGTTTATCTCAAGGAATCCCAAGAACCCAATATCGCAGCACACTGGGGGTAGCGGTTTTGTAAAAAAGATAAAGTTCTCTTTCCATTCATATAAGGCTCAATTGTATTGGTTTAAAAACCACTGATAATTTTTTCGTCAAAGTTCCTCCCCCCCAAATGACTGGATTTGATGCAGAGGTCAGTCTTGTGAGTGCACGTGACCTAAGTCCGCATTGTTTTGTAGGGCCGTTCCACTCACTCGGGGGTATTAAGAGAATCACCATGTTGCCGCGTATTATCATGTAGTATGTACATGTGCATAACGACCACTGATTTCGTTTAAGTTTGACGTGTTTTTTACAGGCCTCCATTTTCACTTTTGTGACATGTTCATGGACTTGTCAACGCTTTATGAACCAACTTGCAATTGGCATTTTTTTTTTATTAACTGTTTATATATCTAAGTATAGTTTTTTGTTCTTGTTCATTTTGCAATATAATTTTATGTATACTTTATGTGTTTGAACACTCGTGGTTTGTGACAAAATATATGTGAACGGATCGTTTAAATGCCCAAAAAATACAAAGGCAGCTTGCTAGATGTGGGGGTGTATGCGGACGAACTTGTCCCTCAGTTTGTATCATGTACCTAATATTGAGAATGGAGGATCCTAACAGTGTCTGCGTGGGTGATGGCCAGCGTGTTGCATGTGGTATTCAAATCGCAAGGTCAATTAAGCAAGTTAAGGAGCTGTCTCACACATATTGATCTTTTGTGCGTTTGGGTCTCAAACTTTTCATTATGAGTGAGTATCACCCGTTATCCACGGATCCAAGTCTCCTTTTTAACGTCTGATTATGTCAAAGCATGCAGATTTATGCGATCTCGCGCCACAGCCAATCGGAGTCGACTCTACTAAATCATTTCATTCCCAAATCAGAACTGAAACCGTGATTGGTCAAATCGAATCCATGTGTTGTAATGCAACAGCAGCCGCGCGCGTACGTGTCGCGTAACATAATAGCGCGTGGCCAAAGCCTTTGTTGCTGTGTTAAGCGGGGTTATTCCAACCTCGTCCCCAGGGTGTCGAACAGTACGCGCCCATCACTACCTGCTCTCTCACCCTGGTATTGGATCATTTGCATGTGCAAGATTTTTGAACACGTATGCAAATGAGGAATAGTCTGGTGCCTGGATATGCGTTACATTAGCGTTTGTTTTTGTATGCGGTGTCTGGGGTAAAAACAGAGTCAATTCGTCGCAGCGCGAGCACGTCGTGAGTTACAAAAACACGATTTTTTTTAAATTAAACTGTTAAGATTTTATCGAGACAACATGCAGTATCATATTTCATATTAATATGACCTTATTGGAAAAGGAAATTAGCATTGTCGAGAAGGCATGGACAAATGATCGCGAAAACACGTACTGCACGTTGTGAATAATAACACCAAGTACACGATAAAAATCCATTACTAGCCAATTGCGGTATCGAATCAGGATACAGGAAGAAAGTTTCCTATCCAGGGTTTGCTATTGGAAACCAGGTTGGAAATAAAGTAAGCACTGGGGACGAGGTTGGGGTTATTCTTTATCCATGTCTAGATTTGTACATAGGTGAATGACCGCATACCCGACATAGAAAGCGCCCGCTGATTGGTCAAAATCTAGAGGTCAAGATGCGATTGTCTTGCATAATTAATCAGCGAATCTGTTCATATGTAATAGACCATGGCCTTCGCCACGGTCTAGCACATAGACTAAGATGGAGGAGGGGCATTCCGGATATTTAAACAAAGCAATTTCTTTACCTAAACGTGTATTCATAAATACCTCAGACAGTTTACGCATTCCTATTGGTCGAGAACCCGTCACGTGGCCGGTCTTAAACGGATGATAAAGACATGGCTAGCTGGTCTTAAACACTTTTCCAGTGTCACAATAAAATGTGGACTCCTAAAAATCCAGTGCCTCTTAGCGTTTCATTGGTTTAACGTTCACAATCCTCACGTAGGCATGCGCAACACTACCAGGGAGTCAAAATTGTATAGTTCTAAATTCAAAACGCAACGTGCCAGGTGCGTTCTGCGCGACATTGCGCAGAACATGATACGCGCGCGTCAATCTCCATAAAAGGGTTGTTTACATCTTACTCGCCAGCTGAACCATCCATTATTTTGCAAGAGGGATGTTTCAAAAAGCATAAAGTGAATTTGTTGAACAAAATCGGGATGTTTTGAACGAATTATATGATTTTTTCTTACCGAAAAGGTATTTATGAATGGGAATAAATATGTGCTCCGTCGGTATTTATCACACTGTTTAAGACCACTTAGAGTCTGGGTGCTGATAATTACCCTCGGCTCCGGCTCGGGTAATTATCAGCGCCCAGACTGATAATTACCCTCGCCTCCGGCTCGGGTAATTATCAGCACCCAGACTCTAAGTGGTCTTAAACAGAGTGATACAAACCTCCGAAGCACACATTTATTTCCTTATTAAAAGGTCAGTCAAAAGCAAAACATTGGCGAGATTTTCAAAGACGGACTGTGATTGAATCATCAGTAAAGAGGAATTTCGAATTAGCATGGTATGCGCACTTCCGCATTGAAACCGAGGCTCTCTGTGGCACGAATTCTGCACGCGCTATTCGTCACATTGCGGGCAGGTAGGTCGGCCGTTGGCTCTCTCGTAAAAGTACGTTTTTCTTTCCTGTAATCTTGAGATTTTTAGTGGTGTTGGCATGTAATAAATCCCAAGTTGATGTAGCATAAATATACGAGTATGTCACTGCCATACTATTGTAGGATATGCCAATATTGTTCACCATTTTTTCGTTCTTCGACGCCCGGTTTTTGTGTATGTATATCGGCCATGTCGGCAGATTCGAGGAACCTGACGATAACGCGTGGTCACTGTAGGCTGAAGTTCAGAAACTATACCAATTTTCAAGGATCCTCAAACAAGAACATTTTATACTGAAATATTATTTTTTCGTAGTTTTGTTATGAGCTTAGGTTCCTCAGTTGTTTTGGATAGATTGGAAAAATATTGGAAAGACAATAGTGCCATTTTCAATTAATTACAGGGTTGCATTTGTGAATAAATGGAGGCTCTAGTCGTATATGCATATTTACAAATAAAGCAGATGTATGTTTAACAATTGTAGAAATATAGCCGCATACTTGGGGTGAGATGGTCTGATTTCTTCACCAACGAGGCCATCTCTCAGAAAACCAGGCTGGAGGATATTCGCTGTATTATATCTTCACAGCATCACTCCATCTTCGGGCACATTCGTCGACTCCCTAGCAACACCCCAGCTCACGCCGCCCTCAAGTTGGCCGTTGATGCATCTACAGGAGTCAAGCCTGATCCTGGTTGGTCACGACTACGCGGCTGCCCCCGAAATACCTGGGTGCAGCTTGAGGCTGACTATACTCTGTCAGCCCCTGCCCTGTGGCTCATCTCGACTGATCGGTTGGCGTGGGTTTCTCAACGTTCCAAAGCTGGATTTGGAGACTGATGATGATGATGATGATGATGAGAAATATAGCCAGAGCAGTGAATTGATTTAGAATAATCCACATAAGAAATTTTACTAGACATCATTGTCATTTTAAAACTGTTTTTAATAATAACCTCAATGGATTTCTTTTTATTATTCATTAAACAATGGCTAATCTCACAGCAAATGACATTCCAGGAACAAAACGGGATGTTTCTGTGCCTGCCCTTCAAAAACTAAAATGTGAAGACTGAAAAGCTAAAGATTTGGCTTAAATGGTGTGGATTCTTGCAAGGCCAAGGGCTTAAAAACCAAAGCGCACCAAGGGCTTAAAAACTAAGGCGCAGATGATAGAGAGGTATGTATGCAGTAAACTGTTAGGCCACAAACAAAATTATTCTGCCTCCGTTTACATGGCATTTGGAAATAGGGTGTAGGTAGGTAGGGATTTTTTTGGGGGGTGCATGTTTCTACGATCATGTGGAGTTGTCGGTGTATAGTCAAGTGTACTAAAAGGAGGTCATTGATGATTCTCGGGGTTTTCCTCATTTTTCAAATTAGGATAGGGGCTGTCGAAATAGGGTAGGTAGGGTAACCGGAAGCAAAACTATTATTTTGGGGGCCGAATTTGTACACCGTTTAAGGCTAATTAAACTAGTGTCTGGTGCTGCCTATGTTGTGGGTAAGCATTTGGGCATGGCGGGGAGGGGGGGGGGGGGTGTTCCTAGTACATTTTGTGTACAGTCACCGACCAAGGTGGACAGATAGGTTACTACAGAGAAGGAGGGGGTGAGGTTGTCTTGGGGGTGGGGGTGGGGCAGGGACAGAAGGGATCTTACAAGTGGAAAAAAAAATAGCCGTGTTTGGGAAACTGTTGATCACTGCCGGGGGAGGGGTGCGGCGCCCCAGGGTCAGCTGGTATTAACTGGAGCAGAATGGTGCGACTTTGTTGTTTACACACACAGGTTTAATCACTCAACGAACACCATTTGAATTAACATTTTCGAATATCCTTTATAAAAAAAAATGCAGAAGTTTATTTTGGCCTTCACATCAAAGTGGTTATTGAGCAATTCTAATCTATTGTGTCTCAAATTGTGGGTTTTTTTTGCAAGTAATAGTTTCTACTTCGACCCATTTAATGGGGAGTAAATATTGGTCACTAGTAGCAGTATGAGTATATCAGGTACCTTCACAGTGTTATAACTTTATCAAGACATTTCAGCACCCACAGCATTGGCCGAGATGGTTCTTTTTCTTATATTTTGCATAAGAAAATATCAGAAACAAAAATGTGTAGTTAAATTACTCAGTCGTATGCATTTATGAAACTTAAGGTGAGAGAGAGGATGTACATCCTTATTTTGACCTCTTTGAGTGAACTAATATTTTTTGGTAAGTTTTGCAAACTTGATTCAAGGGCTTACATCAAAATACACAGTACAAAAAAATCAGTCAACAGGCCAAGCACATTGAAATTTATGTTTTACATTGTATTTCATATTTATTTCCTAAGCATTACATATGACAGTAACTGAATGTAAACCAAGCATGACCAAATCTACCCCTTAAAAAACTATGATATATCTTTTCTCACTTTACTAAAAGTCAAGAAAGTGCTGGATAAATGTATTTGAAATAAAGTGAACAATGGATGTATGTATTTAATTTAATATCAGTGAGACTATTTGTTCTTTCTTGGAGTGTAGAGTTTAAACATTAGGCAAAAAAATAGTTCTGCTTCTGATAGCCCCTACCCTAATTTGTTTTATTTTTTAATAGTTTTTTTTTGGTTTTGAGAAGGGGGGGGGGGCATTGAGGGGGAAAAACATGAAAACCATCAATCATTACATGCACCTTTTATCTAAAGGCAGACACCTCCATATGATCGTACACAAAATCCCCCCCCCCCCCCCACTAAAAAAAAACCTTTACAATACCCTGTTTTCAAATGCTTTGTTATCGGAAGCAGAACTGTGGCTTTTTGGCCTTATACCAGGCATTAAGATTACTGGATTAAAGATGTTTATTATGTCCATTTTTGTACATACATGTACATGTACATTGTACTACTAAAGAACTAAACTTGCTTATACAATTCTACGGGAAGAATTAAGACATCACTATTTTTTTCCCTGCAGTGACCTATCATCAGAAGTGAAAACATGTCCTAAAAAAGTCAAATTTGTAGCAGGGAAAATATTGAAGCATGGGCCTACTGAGTAAACAGTTGGATTGGAATTTTTCAGACAAGTCTCATCGGGTTTGTGCACATGCAGGTTTGGAACTCTTTCCAATCCTTCAATTGATTATGAATCAATAACTTTAAAAAAAAATGGGAGTGAGGTTCAAGTATTTCTTTCTGAACAGCGTAGGTCTACAACACATAGTTCTACATGCAGCACTACAAGAGTCAAGGATCTCGAGCATGATGAATGCACACGTTGATTTTGATTCACGAAAACGTACACATATTTCACTCCAAATTAGACTTTAAAACAGACTGAATTTTCTTCATTCAATTGTACATTTGTATGATATGTCGACACGATTCAATTGTACTTTCAGTTGTACTTTGTAGCAAACACAGACCGTAGACCACAGAGAAAGGAACGCGCGTTGTGCATATGACGGTAAAACGTGTAGTTTCTGCTGACACAGCCAGCCTCGTTTTGAAACCCAGAAGTTCGCAGATTGGCAATAAACTTGTTGTTGTGCGATCCCTCTATAGGGAGCCCCCCCCCCAAAAAAAAACCCCTCCTTTTTAAGGCCTTTGCTCCTCCCCTTTAATTGAAACCAAGATACGTCAGAAATCGCACCTGGAGAGATGATTGAAATTAAAGAAGATCTTGAATTGAGCAGAGTGTTTTTGGCCTCGGGTCCCACATCAAAAGGAGACCTTCCACAAAATGCTTACTATCCTGCTGTGAGGGGAAAACAAACAGTAATGTTGACGCAATCTGAGAATGTGGTGCTGCTTGCCTAAGAATAACTTGATTTCAATCCCATTTCTTTGCCACAGGACAGTCGCGGTAATACACCACTTTTTATCGCCATCCGCATGAGCAACAAGCCAATAATAGATTTGTTGGTGGGTCATCAGAAAGTTGACCTCACTCTGAAAGACAGCCAAGAGATGAACTGCTTGCACTACGCAGCCCTTTGTGGGAACAGTTTGTAAGCATTTTCATATATTTTGATTTGGTTTTTTTAAGAAAATGTTTTTACTTTTTCTGCAAATAACTCTTTGCCTCATACTATACTTAGAATTAGTGGAAAACACCTTTACTTAAAGAGATATATACACTGTTATTTCGGTTGTGTAAAAATCAAACGGTTGTGTACTATATGAACCTAGCAACCTGTTGTGTAAATTGTTGTTTACAGAACTTGTGTAAAATATTACACAACTTGGTCATTTTTTTACACAACTGGTTGCTAGGTTCATATAGTACACAACCGAAATAACAGTGTATTACGGTCTGGAATGCGCCAAATTGGGTTGCAAAAAGCGTTTTAAAAGAAACGACATGAAATAAAAAGAGCGTTTAAATGTAGGATATTAACGTCCACACAACTATCCTTTAACAATTGGGCGGTTTTGTATTGTGTTTTCTTGCGAGATAGGCCGAGAATGAAATTAAAATTCGAGCTGTGAGTGGGAGTCGTGAATCCAGCCACACAGTTGCTCGCATTCTGAGACACAACATTTGTGTATTGGTAGGCCTATATTATATGCATTAAGTACCACACACAAAACGTATACCCTGCATTAATTAGACACGACTTGCAATACGTACAGGTATGCCACAAAATGTCTTTCGCATCAGATGTATACAACCGCTTTTTTTTCTTTTCTATGGACCGGTAAGAAATTAGGTTTGTTTTCTTTCAACCAGACCTTTAAATATATGATAAGTAAAAAAATCCAAAACATCAAATTTTCGGGGATTTAAGGCCGTAATGTCCCTTTATGAAACGGGCGAAATTATTCGAAAATTGCAGTTCTGGTACATGACCATGATTGTAAAAGGTTCTTGTATACCTCGCTCTATATCCTCGCGTGTAAATAGGTCAGTCGTTTTGACTTATATAAGTTAGTCATGCTAGATGACTCAAAAAACGATTTTTTTTTAGTCCTGTGACTAAATCCTCCGACGTCTCAAATGACTTATCAGTTAGTCATGTAACTTTTACAGTTAGTTATTCATTGTGTTGTCATTCCTGTGACTAAATCATCCAATATCTCAAATGAATGACCAATTAGTCATGTGGCTTTCACAATTAGTCACTCAAAGCGATGATTAGTCACATTTGTCAAATGTATTAGCTAACACGACCCGTCAAGACGGTGTTTGTCTAGCTTTTAGTTGTATGAAACGATAGTCTATCGTAGGTTTCTCCAAGCAAATGGCTTGCCAATGGGACACAACATATCGACAGCAACTGGACACGAACCCCTGGCCCTCTGATTATGAGTGGCAAACCTTATTCATTAGGCCACACATCCCCTACAAACGATTAATGAAGCATCGATACTCCAAATTGTAATAGCGGGCCGATGAGGTTTGAATATTCCCGCGCACCGCGCTACAGGGGGCCGTAAATGTCACAATGCGCATGCATGAGGGTATCGCAAGGCTATTAATTTGACTGATTTGACTCTTTAGATGAATCATTCCAATTCGACAAATTTTCATTAACAAGATCACTCAAAAGTTTAAGCCATTTATCAATGGTTGACAGTTATGTTTCGGTTAAATAAATACACATATTGTTAAATGGATCAAAATCAGGTACTAGCGACTGAGGAAATAATAACACTTTTGCGAAAGTGTGACTTATTTTGGTTAGTCATTGCACCCTGATTTTAAACTAATGTAATTATAAATAAGTCAATTGGATTAACAGGTAAGTCTAACAGCCATTAGTCAAAATGTCAAAAAGTCAAAGAGTAGTCACTTTGACTTAATTTTTGCCAAAATGTCTAACTTGGCTTTATAGTGCGATAGCATAGTTAGTAAATCGTGACATCGAACCTCTAGGTAAATTATGTTGCAAAGTTAAATTATGTTTACATTTCAGTCCTTCGAATAACTACGTCACATCTTTGCACTTTGTGGGTGGCTTGCCAAATAAACTCAATCATATCAAGGAGTTTTCGTCACACGAAGAACAGGCCAGGTAGCAAACACTAGGTTATGACAAATGCCCTCAGTGATGTTTTGATATTTTTCCGTTATAGTGCCGTGGAGAGGATTCTGAAGGTGGCACCAGATTTAATCAACATCCCAAGAAGTGACGGGCTTACAGCACTTCACATTGCCGCTATAAATGGCCGCACGGATGTAGTGCTGACACTCGTAAAACAGGTAAGAGCTTTCTCTTGTTACATTCTATCAGAAATTAGTTTTAGTAAAGCCTTGGATGGCCTGTGATGTGACATTGTGGTCGTTGTTACTCGTCAATACATCGAGATCATTAGGAGCAACTTCATCGGGGCTGTTACGGCTAATGTTCATAAACAACCCTTGATGGAGGTGCACGCACCGAAAGCCTGGAGTTTGCTTTCGGTGAGCACTGTTTTATATTCTTTTACAGTTTCTACCATGAAGAAAATGTTTAGATATGGAAGCATTTCTTATCACACCCCTGGTGACCTTTCAGAGGCCAATGACCTTGAACGTATTCTATTTTGACCCATATTAAAGATGTTGGTATTCTTGCCGAGGCATGAATTTTCAGATATGTGAACATTTTCATATTAGACCTCTGGTGACTTATGAGAGATCAATTAATTTTATAATACCTGTTGGGGAATAGATAAGTCGATAAACAATTCTTTGGCCGAAAACTGTGTTAACCGTAACCGTTTATTCCACAACAATATCTCAATACACATTCATAAATACCTAGGACAGTTTAAGCATTCCTATTGGTCGAGAGCCCGTCACGTGGCCGGTCTTAAACGGATGATAAAGACAAGGCTAGCTGGTCTTAAACACTTTCGCAGTGTCACATGAAATTTTGACTCCCATGAAATCCGGTGCCTTTTACGTTTCATTGGTTGAACGTTCAAATTCCCCACGTATGCATGCGCAATACTACCAGTGAATCATTATTTCATAGTCCGATATTCACATTACACCAGCCCAGCTGCGTTTTGCACGGCATCGCGAAGTGTGCGTGACCATGAAGGTGGAATGCGCGACGCGCACGCAATTGTTGATGGGCATTCCATATTATAGTCAGAGGGGTGTTTCGTAAAACATGAAGTAAAATTGTTGAGCAAAATGGTTAACAACGTCTAGTTTTTGACTTGTTTTGATTTTTTGACCGAAAAAGATTTGTTGTTTTTATTTGACCAAAATGGTATTTATGAATGGGAATACATATGTGTTTCGTCGGTGTGAGTCTGGATGGGTGATGATTACCCTCGGCTTCGCCTCGGGTAATTATCACCCATCCAGACTCACACCGGTTTTAAACAAAGTGATATAATACCTCCTGAACACACATTCATTCCCTTATTAATTGATTGAACTGGTTAAAGCGAACTTAGTCATATCTTGGTTTCCTTGATTCTCAGAAAGATTACTATATGAATTAGAAATAGTCCTTAAAACAATGATCAAGTAACTTGGTTGAACTAAGAAACTGACCAGTGACTTTTGTGTGTGGGCAGTGAAGGTCATTTGCTCTGTATAAAACTATAGGGACTACATGTTGCATAGGCACTGTGGGGGTGTCTGTGTTAAAAGGAAAGCAATGAGTAATGCATTCAGGAGAATTAATCTTTATACAGAAAAGTTCAAAAGGAACATTGGTAATTAAAGTGTGATAATCGACTAAAAGGTAAAACAAATTGATAATTAAGAATTGACAATCTGAAAACGCTACTTAAAGCCCCCTTTCAGTGAGTGTGTGGCAATTAACGAGCGAATGATGATGTGCACGACTAAACGATATGATGTGCAAGACTAAACGTTATCAGAATAGCCTCATCCGATATTTTGCTGACCTTTTGAACAACAGTTCCAAGTCTTAACTCCCATTCATACTGGAATTTGATAATCAAAAAAAAAAAACAATAATACAAAATCCTATTTTATTCATGTACTCCATTCTTAAATTAAAAAAAAAAACCTTCCTTTTTTATCATGTACTATTCCGGTAGAGTACGCTTTTTTTATATTCCAATGTGCAAATCTTATCTCATTTTTTTATGTACTGTATTCTGATATTTGTATGTATGATGGTAAATGTTTTAGTAAATTTGTATTTCTGATTTTGTACGCATTGTGACAATGTAGCCTCTGGCTACAAACACAATGTTTAATAAAACAAAATAATAATAATAATAATGATGACGATGATGATGACGATGACGACGATGACGACGATGACGACGATGACGACGATGATTAAAGCGCACTTATCCGGAAACCCGATTAAGGCGCCTACACCCAAAACTCGTCAAGTTCCAGTCATAGAGAAATAACTAGTGAAGTAGATGAGATTTCAGTTCTCTTTTAAAGATGTTCAGGGATGTTGTTTGACGGAGTGTGGCAGGGAGTTTATTCCAAATGGCAGGTGCTGCCTTGGCTAAGGCACGTTGACCATAGCGGATAGTTCTAGTTCTTGGTTCTGCTAGTAAGTACGAGCCCGATGATCTGAGAACCCGACCTGTTTGTTTGAGGGAGATGAGCTCACGGAGATACTGAGGAGCACGACCGTGCAGGATCTTAAACACAAGGAGGCAGATCTTGTAACTGATCCTCTTGGGTACCGGTAGCCAATGTTCTCTCAGAACAGGTGAAATTTGTTCGTATTTTCCACATTGCACAACGACCCGAGCTGCATTATTCAAGACACGTTGCAAACGTAATATAGACATAGCAGGTAGGCCAACGAGCAGGGCGTTGCAACAATCGAGACGTGAAGAAACAAAAGCATGGATGGCCTGTTCTGCTGTTTCCAGGTACTTGCGGATTCTGCCTGGTGATGTTGCATAGGTGAATGTTAGCGCTTCTGCACACATTTAAGATGTGTGAATCCATATTGAACAGATGGTCGAACACAACTCCCAGATTTCGAGCAGAGTTGGAGACTGACAACCCGTGGTCAGTGATGGTGAGATGTGGTGAGATGAAATTCGAGTAATCAAATCGAGATCTAATTATGAGAATCTGGGTTTTTTTCGGCATTGAGACGTAGAAAATTGCGACTCCTCCGTGACTGGAAGTGGCAGAGGCAGTCATGCATCTGGTTGACTGATGTGGCGGTATCACCACTAGGTGAAAAGGCCAGGTGAAAAGACCAGGTAAAGCTTGGTGTCATCAGCATAGAGTGGAACTGAACACTGTGATGTCTGGCAATTTATACTAACAAACCGGATCTATGAGATTTCCTTCAAGACACGAAGGGCCAAATTGCGAATTTTCAAGCTTTTATCACAAAGTGCACAATTCTTGGAAACATTGGAGCTATGCCGCTCCATTATATGAAGGTAACAACACACGGACATTTTAATAGTTTTGTAAAGTATTTAATCCCTGATATTAGTCTCCTGTTGTCCAAGAGTGAATATGCAGTTTACTTGAGTGAAACTGCCCCCCCCCCCCTCCACCATCTGACCTGAAATTAGGGATATTTAGAGATAAACTAATTCAATCGGAAAGATCCAATTTTTAGTCGAGATTCAAGATAAGTTATTTTTATCTGGCAAAGCTTCGGGTAAGTAGATAATATTTTGCAAAGCATTGTAGTTTAAAGTACGACCGACTTTTACTCAAAAACACCTAAAATCCCGGTTTTACTATTTAGAAAGAAGAAAATGGGTCCGGAGCTTCTGTTACAATAATATGTTACATAAATATATATATTTATATATATCTCCTTGCAAAGAACAATTGCGAAAAAGAACTCAAATACATGAAGGATAAGACGGCACTGCTTCTGGCCGTAGAGAAACAACACGCCGAATGCGTCAAGGCTCTACTTGACAACGGTGCTGATGTGAACGCCCAGGACTCAAGGGACCAATCCTGCTTCCATTTAGTCATGGTAAGAAGTGTAAGTGCTCAGTGTTTCTAAACAGGGGCAGCATTCCTAGATAAATCTAAAAATTTGACAATAAAAACATCAGTGGACATTTCAACTCATTAGCTGTTTAGGGGTACATGCTCCGAAACAGCTCTTGCGTTGGTTAAGATTTCTTTTCTCATTATTCAGACTCCTCTCAATAGGTTTTGTACCCGTATTTCTTCTGACCATACATTTTGGCTTTTCATGAGACCGATAGACTGCAGACTGGGCCCATACTTAGACAACGACCCAGATCTGTTCTTAGAAGATATTCGTCACGATGACGTCATTATGTGTCAAGTTACTTAACATTAAACATGCATTTTGTGGCCATAGACTTTCTACGCACTCGGTTGGCATGGTAAGCTCAATATTTTTATAAGGTTACAGGGTATCACTACCGGTCCTGAAGGCCTCTTTGGTCTTGACTCACAGAGGCGTCGTAAAGTTAATTCCCCAAAGGGGGAGGTAACTGCTTTACTTTGACCCATTTATGGTTGATTGAATATTACATGTATTTTCATTGTGGTTTTCTTACAGGCCTTTGTATGTTTTATCCGACTATATTGATCCCAATGCCTTGATTTTCTGCAAGTTTTCTTTTTAGTTGTGCAGTACTTTTTTTCTGTTTATTGTTCAAACAAAAATTGTACGTGTACCTATAGATGTGTTAACACATGAACATCTAACGGACGTCCGTTATTTCAAACAGCCGAAACAAATTTTGTTTGTCCACAAACACAATTTTAGCTTGAAAGCGGAAATGTATTGTTTCTGTTCTGATTTTTGTCTGTTTCGGCACTTTGTTTTCGTTAAGATTTTTTTTTGCTTTTTGGCTTTTCCGGAAAGTTGCGGAAAAGCCTTTGTTTTTGTTCTGATTTTTTTTCTTTCTTCCGATTGTCTTGAAACTTGGGGGTAGGTAGATACTGTTAATAGTATGGAAAATCTGAAGTGAAGTCAAGATGAAGTCATCAGCTTTTGTTTTTAAATTAATTTATAAACCTTTTACATTTTCTACTAATACAAAGATTTGACATTTGAGGGTTTTTTAAATGCGGAAAAGCCTATGTCCTGTTCATCGAACGTGCATAGCTCTAATTCTCTTTGTCATTGTAAATTTAGTCTCTAATGCAGGAATTAACTTTCAGTCAGCAACTTAATGACATTGTTTTTTTTTAATTGACAGAACCAGGGTGCTGTGTCGTCCGTAATTTTTCAGCTGTTACTGGAACGCGAGGGTGCTGACTTCACACTGAAAAACAACCAGGGACTCAGTTGTTTGCATTTTGCTGCACATTCAGGAAATACGCCGTACGTACTTTAATCATACAGTACAAGATACAAGATGCAAATCGATATGTGCCTTAACTGATTCCACCTTTTTTGTATTCAAAATGTCTCTGTTATGATATGGACATTTGTGGCAAATGCATGTATAACCCTTCGCTTATCTAGGTGTCGGGCAGCCGTGTTAGTTAGTCGCCACTGATGATAACACTCACTGTTTAAAAAATGTCAGAATTTTGAATAAACAGCAACAAAGTAGTTCATCTACAGAGTATAAGGCATAATGCCAAATTTACAGTCGTTGTATTCGAATTATTTTTTATTGGAATAATGTAGTGCGATCGAGAAGATTTTGGAAGTCGTGCCGTGGTTGATCAACCTGCCACAAAATGACGGTATGACTGCGCTACACATCGCTGCTAACAAGGGCTTTACAGACACGGTAACGAGCCTTGCAAAGAAGGTAATGAAAATGGAATTGAATGTTCTAAAAAAAGGTTGCAGTATCACTATTTCAAAGCCATGAAATATTCCTGCTTTCATTGTAGTACAGTGTAACTTACTTGACGATAGCCACATGGTTCACCGATTTTTAATGTGTTGAAAGCAGTACGATCATTGAACATGTTGAGACTTTATGGTGCTGATATACGTGGCGGATAATAGCGCGGATATTATCTCATATTCATGAATTGTTTAACTAATAAATGTTTCTTATTAAATATTTCAACCGTTTAAGGGGGCTATAGTCACCGATAATAGCTCGCGCCTTTAGCGCCGGCCTTATCGGCGACCACGCCCCTAACTGGCTTTAAACAAAACGTTTATAACTGCTCCATCACATTGTTATTTCCTTGGTCCGAATAAGGAATTATAACATCAAACTTGAGCCGATACCTTACAAAACCTCTGCGGAGGAAACTTTTTGTGTGAAGGTTGTTTTTGTTTTGGTTTCAAGGATAACTGCTCAAAGGGTCTCAAAAACAACAACGGAGTGACGGCACTGCATCTTGCTGTTGTCCAGATGCACTACGAATGCATAGAGATTTTGCTTAATCACGGTGCCGATGTGAACGCCCAAGATAAGGAAGGTAACACTAGCCTCCATCGTTGCATGATGACAGCCACCTTGGATGCAAAACTCCGCCCAACAAACCAGGTGGGTTTTGTTTACATTCTTAAATCGACAGAATTCGTGCTACCGTACTGTGCGTATTTTTTTTTAATACCAGTTAATTCCTCAATCATTTCCGTCAAATATTTTCATTCTCCGGCCAGGGATTTCATATTGGAACCTAACTAGAAAGCGTGATAATTGCCTCTTTAGCCTGTGATGAACCCTTGATCTATGTTTTTAGGAACCAAACTCCAGACTCCAGCCAACTTCCACAGGATTTGTATTGTCCGGCTCTTACACCACTTTTGAAACTCTAGCCGACTGTTTTCACAAGGCAATCATTCGTCCTGTAATTTGGCCTTTTCTTGAAGCCTGGGAACAAGTGGCAGTATTTGTGTTCATTTTTTTCGATATGTAGGTTCACAATTGTGGTGTAGGTAGGGGGGCCGCTAAACGAATACACCTAATGGCTTCTCTTTAGACTTTTTAAGGGCTTTGAGCAGTGCCAAAAATGTGGAATTGGGTATGTATTCATCTATGTAAATATTTCGATACGTTGAGAAGCGATTGTGTTCACCCACAGTTTACACAGAGTTTACCTAAAACGCCTGCTGAAGGTTAATGTTCACATTCAACATGCAGTACGGTTTATCAGCTTCTCTTCGGAAGGTGCATAACCCAGGCTATTCAAAATAGGATACCTTTTATCCTAAAGTATCATTCGTATGTTTATTTTGCTTTAATGAATTTTTCCCGATTTGGGGCGAGTGCAATTCTTTGAACAAAATGGCTTTCATATTATGCTCATGTGAATCCGCCCCGCAAGAGTCGATTTATTGTTTTGTGAATAAATAATTCAATAACTGAATGTCGGTGCATTTTTTTATCGTTCGATGGCTCATTTAAAAGTGAATAACTTTTGTATTGATAAATAGGAAAATAGAAATGAAAAGAAATCTATTTTACGATGTGAAACGGGTATTAAACGCATCTTCTGCATTATTGCCAATTTTTCAAACTGTAGGCGTAATCCTTATTACGTCTGCATCTGACAACGTCAAACCTTTAACGAAATATAACTTTTATTACTGCACAATTATCTTTTTTTACAGGAAGAAGGAGATGCAGTCTTTTCAGCCGTTTTAAAGAATGACAGACCAATAATCAAATTGTTGGTAAAGCATCCTAAAGCTGATCTGGGACGGCAAAACAAAAACAATTTCAACATTTTACACCTGGCAGCGATCCTAGGAAATAGGTTGTAAGTTTCTTACGTAATAAACTAATGACATTATATTGGATGTTTGCGTTTTATACGGACTGTAGTTGATAATCAAGTGAATATCTGGATAACATTTCGCTAAACGGAATATTCGAAAAATGTGAGCCGTATCAAGGAGATGAAAGAAATGAGATATCATATCTCTCAAATATCACATTCTTAGGACAAAAACACGTCAGTGAAACCACGAAGCAGTACGCACGTACATACCACTAACAACGAGCAATCGGAGAAAACGGCATCTAAAGTTGAACGCTTTTTAGACTAACACTTTCCTTCAAAACTGCAGTTTATTTTAGTTGGGTTTCTCGTTGTGGACACTTGCTGTATTGAAATTATTAAACTTGCTGTTTTGATCCGTTTGTATATTAAATCAACAAGCGATAAAACAAAAAAGGTGAGTGCTTGTTCGTGAAACCGAAAAAGCTGCGAAATTTAACCACGAATCTTTGTTTTCAGGAAGTAGTAAGCCAATGTACATGTATTACAACACAACGTAAGTGCTACTTCGTGAAACGGAGGTCAGAGGGCGCGCTCACACAAGGAGAGTACTACTTCGTGAAAACGTTTTTGCTAGCATTTGAGCACTGTTTGCGCCATGCATTACAATGGTAAATGGAACTTGCGTACTACTTCCTGAAAACAAAAATTGGCACTTTAGCGCAAAAGATGCAATGGATAATTAGCGTAAGCTCTTGAATCTTTGAAACTTCATGCAATGGTATGGTCCTTGATGAATACAGTATATAAATGTAAAAAAAAAATGAAAAACTGAGAACAGAAAAAAAACATGGTTTACATGTGGAGTGCTACTTCATGAAGTCGGTGATGAACCACATGATTTTGAAGCTTCTAGTTGTAATCATCATCTGATTCTGTCTATTACCAGCTAGTGAGCTATCTCGTAAGACAAATATATGTCGTTTCGCACATGATATTCCTTTTACCTCAATGAGGAAAATCGAATTTTCGAATAATCGATCACATTCAAGCTTCACTAATGGAAAGTGTACAACACTTACAAATACCTCTGTATCTTTAACAACACCATTTTATGAGTACGTAAGCGCACCAGGCATATAATGTGAGTAGAAAAACAATTACTTTGCACCAAATTATATTTTATGTAAGACTTCAGACATTAAATAGACAGTTCCCTATCAAATGCATTTGGGGACGCGATGCATTTAAAATCTTGTGGAGTACGGTGGAAATTGTGCAATTTAATATATTTTTAGGAATATCTTCGAATTTGGATTATTGCAAACTGTTGTGTGACGCACCAAGAACTACCATATATTTTTTTTTATCCAGAGTGCCATTGAGGGGAAATGTTGCAGAAACTTTCACCCATGTGAACTTAAAATAAAAATAAAATGCGGAGTGGATGGCTTCGATGCTGCTGTGCAATGTGATGGTTACGATTTGGGGGTACACGACAGCTGTGCTGATATTGACATAGTTTTGGCCCAAGACGTCATTGATCAAGAGCGATATTAGCAATAATGTGCCTTGCATAATTGATTGTTTACGTCTCTCACTAACGTATTGGTCATTTCGTAGCAATGGGAGCGTGGCTGTTTTATGTAAATAGCACCGTCTGAATTCGAACAAAACGGCAGTTCCCATTTGCCGCAGTGGTCTCGCCCTCGCGCGGGGGGTATCACTGCGTTGCATAATTAGTAATGATGCTTGCTCACCGCACGTATAGCGCGAATGTTTACAACCGTCTGGCAAGGCATTGAAACAATTTTTCGATGGCTGATTGGTTACCGCTGATACGAAATGGTCAAGACGTTAGTGCGAGTTGGCTCGCTGGTTTAATTGTTGTGCCATAAGAGGGCTTGCTATGCACCGTCCACTATCGATCACTAGCGTGTACGCCCAAGACTACTTTTGACTAGACAACCCATGAGCCTCTAGCCGACAGTGACGAGCTTTGGTTCTGTCCCAACAGTGCTGATAACAACAGTACTGACGAACATTTATCGCTGCGAAGTGACGATTTTCGGGACTCGCATGATGCTACCCAACCAAATCCGTAAACCAACAACTAACAACAAACCAGGAAACCCTTTCTCCGCCGTCTAGTTATCAACTGTCTGAACATTAAGCATTGATCTGCATAACCCAGGCATGATCTGTTGGACAGAATATTGGCTGAACTCCAGAATAAGTAGTGCACAAATATTCCCGCCCAACTTTACAGTGATCCGGAAAGACAGGACAACAACAACTCAAGGGGGGTGTTTTCCACGCCATTGGGAGTGATCTTACCTGTACTCATCGTAAAGATCTGGACTCTGATTGCGAAGTTGTTTGGCGTGATTTGGTCATGAAAAACACCCCCAAAAAACACTTCTACAAAAAGGCAACTTCTACAGAACATCCGAGGACAACACATCAGGTGTAAGAATCAATGTAATTAACAACACCATCCTGAACTTAGGAGATCAATCCAACAGTAACAATCTACTACTTGTGTGAGATTTCAACCTGCCCAACATAGACTGGTCCACAAGTACACTCGACGGCAACCATAGTGGAAACAAATCAGCTGCCGAACAACTCATTAAACCGAGGACAATACAGGTGCTGGAATCGATGAGATCAACAACACCATCCTGAACTTAGGAGATCAAACCAACAGTAACAATCTACTACTTGTGTGAGATTTCAATCTGCCCAACATAGACTGGTCTACAGGCACACTCGAAGGCAACCGCAGTGGAAACAAATGAGCTACCGCACAACTCATTAAACTGTCTGAAGACCATAACATAACGTTCTTGACTTGGTATTCACCTATAACTCTAACATAAAAAAAAAATGTAACTGTTATAGATGGTATATCCGATCATGATGCAGTTTCAGTAGAATTAGATCTGATACCCAACAGAGAGCGCAAAGTTAAGCGGAAGAAATTCCTGGTGGATAAGGCGGACGTACACGATGGCGATAAGTGATCACATCCAACAATTGTCCACCCTCTACGTCGACCAGCTTACTACTTCCAGCGCCAAGCAGAAGTAGGATGCCATTAAAAGTTGTGTCTCGGAGCCATGTAAAAAAAGATTGTTCCCAGCAGTATGACAAGCTCAAGGTTCAACCTTCCTTGGTTTGGCAGAGCCCTGCATAGACAGTGCAGGAAAAAGCAGAGGCACAACTGTGTCAAGAAGACTAAGTCTGGCCAAGATTGGGGAACCTTCTGTTCAGCCAGAAGGACACTTACCAGAGCTCCAAAACGCCCTTACTTGAAATAAGCAAACACAGCTTGCTGCAGCCAAAACCCAGAAAGTCATCAGAGTCATCAGGCGGCATATGTGGAGCTGCTCAGAAGATGTGAAATCCACGGCATATCTATCTTTGGTGCGTCTTTAACTTGAGAATGCTGTGACTGCGTGGGACCTACATCCCGAGTGCAACGCCAAATCCCTTGACAGAGTCTAGTCCAAAGACAGGCAGGAAGAGTCTGCACAAAGAATTACAGTAGGGAAGAGGGAACAGTCAATGGAATCCTGGAGCACCTCACGAGCAGAGCACCTCACCTTAACACAATAAATACCAGGGGCACCAACAGATTTCTATAAACGACATGCGACCAAGAGACACATATGTCAACAATTTCCTTTTTTTCGATTTCGATTTTTTTCACACTATTTTGTTTTAAAATATTTCACTTAATCATTTTGACATTTTAATTTTCAAATTACATAAATGATGCAAGGGGCAGATATCTCGACGGTTACATTTTGTGTTTTCACGAAGATACACACACATTTTGGCCCCTTGAACGCGTACAAAACCTCAGCTGCGCACGCGTACACACGCTTGCCCATTCCATATGGAAAACACATTAGACAGCAAGGGCCAAAATGTAGGAAACTACAATTTTCGTTTTTACGAAGAGACACATATCATTACTAATAATTCTAATCACTGGGCTCACGTAAACAGTTGGTGTGACATTCTCGAGTGAATTTTACCGACTCAACATGAACCAGAACCTGAACCAGAACCAAAAATGTCGTTTTGATGATGTTTTCATGTTTTATAATCTTTTGTTATTTTCTCCTCTCATTTAGTGGTGTTCAGACTGTGTTGGAAAAAGCACCATCTTTGATCAATTCCATCGCGACCGATGGGCTAACAGCACTACACTTCGCTGCCTCTAACGGCAAAACAGATATAGTTTTGACCCTAATTAAACAGGTACAAAGCTACATTATCGTAACGAGTTCTACAAGAACTTGAGAACTTGAATAAAACTGTGTATTATTCGACAGTGTTCTCAATTACATTTTGTTCTCATTTTCATTTGAGCAACATTTGGGACTGAACATCCAAGAGAATAGATTCATTTCACCATATCTGATACTGGAATCTACAATGCACATAACTTGCGAAAGTTGTACGTTATACTTACAAACTAAGTCTTTGATACTAAAATAAATAACTCTCAGACACAAAGCTAAAATGATCTTTCAAGATACTTTGCTATTGAAGCTCACTGCAAATAAAACCGTCATTTGTATTATAGGAGAAGTGTAAGAAGGATCCGAAAAACTTAAAGGAAGAGACTCCGCTACATTTAGCCATACAAATGGGTCACTTCGAGTGCGCCGACGCTCTCATAAAGAATGGTGCTGACGTGAATGCCCAAGACAAAGATGGTAACACCGGTCTTCATCGTTTAATGATCCAAGTATCATTGCAAGAAAGCCTGAGTACTACACCGGCAGGACAGGTTAGTTCGTCTTCGACCAAACACAATCGCGCATTGTTTTATGTCACGACCAAATAACTTTCTTTTGCTTTAAAACTTGACTAACTTTGAGCAAACAGTACATTGAGGGAAATGTAATCATAAGAAAGCAATCAACAAAAACAAATCCACAATACCACAAATGAAATTTTAAAACTGGCTTGATTCAATCGTTTTTACTTAATTCATTTTTACTAGGTTTTAACCGATTTCACAAAAGTCTTTGTAATTCAATGCTTGATGATTTCATGACTTAAAAGTGAGTCTCAACTCGTGGAATAAAGTTTAATGTTATGCAAAGTCTCATGTTCACGAAATGCACCGTTTGGAAGAATAAGCTTCTGAGAAAATATTTTTTTACGAATGGAGGAAACAAAGCATTGGGAATCTCAACAGTTTGAAATGGCTATTTCGAGTTCGGATCAATTTTCCTTGTCATTTCGAGACTGGGTACCATACGATATTAATGGCAAAACATGAGTACAGATTTCCTTGAGAAATACTTTCCCTCAATATTTTTATTTCTATAACAGGATATGGCAGAAGGAGACACTGAAATTTTCGCGGCCAGATTGCAAAGCAACGTGTCAACTATCCAAATGTTGTTGAAACACCCTAAAGTGGACCTTAAAATGAAAAACAACAAGAGCCTCAACTGTTTTCTTCACGCGGCTTTTTATGGGAACAATTCGTAAGTAAATTGTTTATTACCGCCTTTCGAAACTAATCAGGTTTCACGTGAACCGAAGAGTGGATTTCGAAAATCTCTTAGATATGGCGAGCAGTATAAGCCGGGTATTTTTTTTCAAATGTACTTTTTTAACAATGTCTTATCTTGATTCATATTGCGTCATTTTTTTTAGAGGGATGGAGAGGATTTTGGAAGTCAATCCATCGTTGATCAACAGCACAACAATTGACTGTACCTCGGCGCTTCATATCGCTGCCGGTAATGGCTTTTCTGACATAGTGAACACCCTTCTTCAGCATGTAAGGCTTCGTTTAATTTTGTATCCAATTTTGTTTCCAATTAATGAAACGACATTTAGGATGTTGTCCCATTTAAGTGCGAGTTATTATGTTCACCTTACAAATTTATTAAATGTTTTATAGTGGGAAATTCCGCAAAAGCACACATTAGTTTGTTATATAGTAGGTGTTAATTGGCAGGTTTTCCACTCTTGTTAAGCTTTTGTTAACTGTTATTATAGCTTGTTCTTTTGTAATTAGTTCAGATATATAATGTTTGAATCAGGACAACTGCAGGAAAGATGCAAAACGCACTGATGGGCGCACAGCATTACACCTAGCAGTTGAATTTTGTCGCTACCAGTGTGTGCAGATCCTACTTGATAACGGTGCCGATGTGAACGCCCAAGATAAAGAGGGCAACACTAGTCTCCACCTCATTGTGGATTTGATTTTCAAAAACCCTGCAAACTCAACGGCAAATATGAAGGTTTGTTTTTATTGCTTTGTCTTCTGTCAGTCTAACGTTGAACTTGTCCAACTGTTCCCCAAGCAACAGATGCCTTTGCAAAAATCATGCTTCTAAAAAAGTGGTAACAATATTGAAAATGACGTGTGGTCATACTCTCTGATGAAGCATGTTTGGTCCGTCGTTCTTTGTCGTGCATGTGTACATGCACTACAGAGTGGTGCAAAAAGAAGGAAACCCACATTGAACAGGAATTTTAACCTACTTACTTCAAGGGCGGATCCAGGGGGGGCCAAAGGGGGCCATGGCCCCCCCCCCCCCAAAACGAAACCAATTTTTTTTTTTTTTTAATGTGACATCGCAATAAAGGCAGGCAATGAGTACACCACCATCTTTTCCTCAAAAAAATTGGTTAAAGTGGTCAGAAATTGCCTCAGATCGCACCACAGAGCATCTAGAATCCAAAAAATTTTCGGGGCCCTCGCGGGCCCCGAACCCCACGCCGTAATTTTTTAGACCCACTTTTGGGGGGGGACCAAAATTTTTTTGGGCCCCCCCCCCAAATTGTGTTCTGGATCCGCCCTTGACTTACTTCACTTATTTGAACTATTGACATCGACCGAAAGAAATGTATCATTCATCTTTAGAATATAGTTCCCGTATCGATAATGTGAATACCGGGATTCAGTCTGTTTGCAAGCAGGTCTGTTTATGCCCCTCCAGAAAAAAAATTTGTCCCAGGATTTTAGACGTCCATAAAGATGTTGATTGGTTAACAAAAAAAATTGAATATTTGTTAAAAAAATTAATTTGTTGAAGAGCACAGGGAACGCCACTTTCTTGTTTAGGTCCATGTTAAAGTTAATACACTGAATATTGATATTTTTAATGTTCATTTGCTTTTCATTATTCCGAGAATTGTTAATGTGCACATTGTTCCAGTACGATTTATTTTTTATTTTTTTATCGTTTTATTTTACCAGGGTAGCCCCATCAGTTATCTATAAAAACTGTTCTCCCTGGGCCCCTAAATGTTCATTTGGTTATAGTTGACCGTTGCTCTCTCAAAGTGTTCAATTTCAGTAGGCAAAATATATCGCCTTAACTTTGTTTAGCCTGTCTTATATCCAGGACGGTGGAAAAGTGTCGGTCTTGAACATTGCGAAAGATGACCAAAAAATTATCGAGTTGCTGGTACAACATCCAAATGCTGACCTCCGATTGGAAAACGACGAAGATTTCAACTGCTTACAGTATGCGGCCCTCAAGAACAACAGCTTGTAAGTCCGTTTGTCAGTCTTGACCGTGTTAATGTGTGCTTTAAAACATGATTTTGCGTGTCTATGATGTGGCTATTTTTCTTATGTTAATCCCAGCAAAGAAAAAATGAACGTGGATCCAAAGAAAACGGTAAAAAAAACTTCGGATTAATTAAAATTATTACAAGCATTTTGAAGGACACCGACTCTACATTTTATATACATATTACGGGGTGGTATTTTTTGTAAATGTCATAAATTATGGTGGTGATAATTTAGGTTTATTTTCCTGTAGTGCCGTGGACACGATGTTGAAGTTTAATCCTTCGTTGATCAACACAACTGGGAGTGAAGATCTTACGGCACTTCATATTGCCGCATCTAATGGATTTGTACAAGTACTGTCAGCCCTTCTGGAGGAGGTAGGAGCACTATTGTAAATCAAATCTTGCCTGATACATCCCCTTATAAATCATGGGCACTTTTTGCACCTATAAAGATGAACCGGGGATCAATAAAGCGGACAATAAGTACCACCTTAGCCACTCTGAACTTAGATTTCGACTTAATTTGAAAACCAAAACCACATATTCTCATTATGTATGTCGGCTTACATGTTGACTTATACAGTTTTCTATCATGCATAGTGTCAACAGGTGTCAAAGGGTGTTCACCCCCTCCCACCCAATTGCAATTTCCCACTTTAGAAATGTTTGAAGAATTTTATCATCATTTCCTTATTTGTCGACACAATTCTTTGTCCTTCGGATATCGATTGATTAGATTAAATAATTGTATCCATCTTTTATATTCACATCCGAAGTGGAGCATTTAGTGGAGTTCATGATAAAGTTATGTTTCTCATGATCTTCAACAAATTTGATTTTTTTTTTCCCCCTGTAATACCTTGAACTTGTATGTTTTATTCCTACCAGAAAACCTCCTGTTTCCGTTGTATTGGACGACTTCAACCCTCTGGGGAAAAATGGGTTTTTGTTTTGGGGCCAAGCAAATACGCTTTGTAAGCAGACTGGCTCCCGGTCCGTCCATAATTGATTGCAGCTCATTATTCGAAATTGTAAAGAACAAATTCATAACTATACTTGAGCCGATATTTTTGGTCAGTATCGCATGATTTCAAAACAGATTTTTTTTTATGTAGACAAATAGTGATTTGTTTTAAATGATATTAAATCGTGACACGATTACCAAATTCCAAACATCTTACGTGGAAATAAAACACGTAAGTGATATCTTGAGCAAGTTATCAAACAACTGTTGGTACAATGAATCGCTTACAGAATCTTCGTTCCAAGCAACATTTTAGTTATCCTTTATAATTCTTTAGTTCTCGCATATTTGAACTATTCAGTTCTAAACTGGGGTAGTCCTCAGTAAATTTTGACAAACTTTTTTTGTTAAAAAAAGGGAGCTGTTCGCATCATTTCTAATGCTGGCTACCGTGTTCATATTGCCAACTTATTTGCAAATCTAAAACTGTTACGAATTAAAGACATTGACTACTTAAATTTAGGTAAATGTACGTATAAGTACATAATAATACGTTCACGCAATAATCGAAGTGTTTTGAAAACAAAATGTCCATGTTTGTTACAGTCGAACGTCCTTGTTAAAAAAAAACAGTCTTATTCAACGTGATGTAAATTACTGGAACGGTCTTAGTGAATCTTCAAAAATAAAAAAATAACTAAAATAAAAAAAATCTTGATGCATATTTACAACTTAAATGTTTAATCTATGTCGTATTGCTACGTCTTTGTACCTGCATGCACACTTATATGCTGCTGTAGTCCTTTTGATTAACTATACCTGTAATATTGTATTTCAACTTATTGTAAACACTGTACATTTCCAAGGACAACATTGCAATAAATGTACTATTCATTTTGAAAAGAACCTCAAAACAACGCGGGGAAATTTTAAAAGAGAGAAAAGTAATTCGTTCAACGTCTTAACTTTATTATTTTAACTTGATATATTACCTTTTGTTGAGCAGAAAACGTGCCGGAAAGATATCAAGAGTGTGAGTGGCCAGACAGCACTACACCTGGCAGTTGAGAAGTGCCAATTCGAGTGCACCAAGGCTCTGTTGGAAAGTGACGCTGACGTGAATGCACAAGATATTCATGGCAACTCAAGCCTCCATCTGGTCATAGAAAAAGTCTCACTGAAGAACATTTCTATGGTAACAACAAAATCTGCTATTTACTTTGTGATAGAAACTTGCCTGTGTTTTTTTCTCCAAATTGTCACTGCATGTTCAGGACCGAAAGAAACCTAATACAAGATAGAAAAGAAATATCAGGGACAATAAAAACATTCCTTAAACCACCTTAGCTCGTGGGAGTATATGCAGCCATTTCATAGCGTGAAAACGGCTAACTTTAACACAATAACTATATCTGCCCTCACAAGAGCCAATTTTAGAACACATTACCCAATGGGCTGCATTTCAACCCACAACCTAATTTTTCTAATTACTGAAACTGACCTAAAGGCTCATTTGAAAGCCCTCTTTTTCCATACCTGTGAGTAGCATTACTTCTACTGAAAAATTGTATCACATTGCTACAAAACCGTAAAGCAATAGTACTCGAATTGACATGGGCAACATCGAAATTAACACTGTCATAGCTGTTAAGGTGTTAAAATGAATGTTTTGTTGACAGGATGATGGAGACCCACAAAAGCTTTTGGTCACTTTTAAAAACAACAAGCAAGTCATCAAGTTGTTGGTAAATCATCCAAAAGTCGACCTCACTCTGCGAAATAAGTCGGATTTCAACTGTTTACATCTTGCGGCCATCAACGGAAACACTTTGTGAGTTTCAATCTTTTTAAAATTTTGTTTTCTGAAAAAACGGACTTTGTGAAGGCACTCAAAGTAAGTCACAAAAGTTGTTGTAAGATTGAAAGCTGGTATAAAGCGGATTATTTTCTTGCAATAAAAAGGTAAAGGTGACTATTTAATTCAACATTATACTGAGATTAAATTCTTTAAAACAAAATTGTTATCTTTCTATGATCGGTTCCTTATCAGGGTAAGTACATTCTAATGCCTGCAGTTTGGTGAATTTCAAGCAGCTCGTATATACATGTTTGACTAGTTGCAGTTTAATTGGTTCATATGACGAATATTTTCTCTTTTTTTATTTCAAAGTGCCATAAGGAGTATTTTGGAGGCAAATCCTAGCTTAGTTAAATCTGTGTTCGGAAAGGACCGGAGCACAGCTCTGCACCTTGCCGCTCTCAACGGCCACACAGATGTAGTGGCCGCCCTTTGTGAACACGTAAGAACGCTATTAATTTTAAAGTATTTAAAAAGAATATCACGCCGACTCAAACGTCTCAGAACAAGAGTTATGTGGGGAAAATAATATATGTTATTTTCTCAAGATTTGTTTGGTTAACGCTTGCATCTTCATAATAATTTAGTGAGACAACAAGGTAACTAGTTCCTCGCACTCACAATCAGTAACAAAAAGAATGACGACAAAAATTCGTGTCGGTGAAAACAACTTGAACGTTTCAATGTAGAACGGGACGCCATCGCTTGGCTTTTTCTTTTCTTTTCTTTTTCGTTTTCTTTTATTAAGTTAAAACTGTCTCCCTAATTTCCTTCCCATGTTATGTTATCAGGACATGTGCGAGACAGATCATCCAAACGCCAATGGGCAGACTGCGCTTCACGTGGCCACGGATTGTTGCAACAGAAAAATTGTTGAGATCCTACTCAACAAAGGTGTAAACGTAAACGCCCAAGACAAGGATGGAGACACGTGTATGCATCTGCTCATGTCAAAAGCCCTAAAGGTACATTCATGGGGCCAATTGCATGTTTGCGTTCAGAGGCTCTTGTTATGTACCGTATCGAAATCTTAAATGATGTTGGAGGCATTCATATTTAAACTAGCTAGAGAATTACAACTTCTACAGGGTTAAGAAATATTCCGCTTTATCAAACTACGGGGGTTTGACATTAAAGACTTTTCTAAATTTCCTTTCGATGTAGGACTGAATACTCGTTTACCACCAGTAGAAATTGTCCCACACCAATGTGTTTGGGTGGACAGTGTGTGGTATAATTTGGACTGAGGGAGGAAGGTTTCAGTATCTCGATCGGTTTATTGATTTCGAAAATATCATAGTGGCGTATATACGATGGAGGCCATATAAGTGCCCATGCCATGCCTACGGAAGAGTTTAGTACACAAAACATATAAGTAAGTTTTTCACAGCTTTTCTTTACGTAGCGTCTGCTAGATTGGGGGAAGCATCCACCCCGCCCCTCCGCCGTCAGCAAAATCCATATTATGACGTCGACCGCATGATGAAGATAGTTAGTGGGTCATGAATAATGACGTCTGTGCATCAGCGTCCAAGTTATTGCCGCGATATTTATTTTTTTTTCATCTTTTTTTTTTACTTCCACCGCAGAAAGAAGCACCAGCATCTCTGGACATCCAGCATATCACCACGCTGTTTGTAGAACACCAGAATATTGATCTCTTGCTGACCAATAAAAAGGGGGACACTTCCTTGCATTGTGCAGCCTTCGTTGGAAACAACGAGTACGTTATCTGTTATCATTTGCATGGTAATCATACATTTGCATAAAGCAGCCATCTTGAGGTGTATTCAGGTATTGATTCAGTGCACAAGAAAAGTCATCCCATGCGCAACCCGATGGAACAAAAACACTCACATGTAAGATGGCTGCTATGCAAGGTTTTTTTTACGACAAACAGATTTTCATTTTACTCTCAAGGACCAAATTCTCTCATCAGCTATTCAGTGTTTGACCTAATGAGGGCATTACGAGAATGCAGCAAATTACTTTATTTTTCCACCAGTGCCGTGGAGAAGACACTGAAGGTTACGCCGTCAGTTATTAACATCACAAGCCAAACGTTCACGGCACTACACATCGCATCCCTTTACGGCAAAGCGGATGTAGTGCAGACCCTTGCTAAACAGGTGAGTAGAACCATTAAAGGTGACCAGGGAATTTAGTCAGTTCAAAATTTGGAAGACTTGAGTGAAAAAGAGTCTTTTTTAAAGGGAACATGAAATACAATATTTTGGTTGCATTTGTTTTGCTTAAATCAATAAAGGATTATGTTCTTAAAGGGAATATACATCATTTGCTTTTGCTGTAATTTTCAGAAATGGATGGAATTGGGGGTTGGAAAAATATAGCAAATATAGTTACACTGACTTTTTTGAGGTTTTGGGTTCAAAAATGCTATAAAAACCAAGAAAAACAATCTTTTTCCTGTTGTCTGGTTCCCTGACTCCATTTAAGAAGAAACAGAGCAGTTTACATACATTGGGGAATTGTAAGGTCAGGGAACCAGTCTAGCTGGCTTGTACCCGTTCATAGGTGTGTAATCGATTGCAAACAAGTGCGATGGTCAACTGGGGCTAGTATTTGAAAAAAAAAGCCAGTTTTTTCCAAAGCTGATCGGCCGATCAGCGTTGGAAATTGATACAAAAATACCACTTTTCTTGAAAATGACAGTATACCAGGTGCCATGCTTTTACAGGATGCTTTACACTGTCATTCACTAACAGTCCAGCAAGGTATTTCAAAATGATTTGGTAGTTTTATTTTTTGATGTTTGCAAATGTTGTATTTTCCCTTTAACAATATTTTGTGTATGGTGGTGTTTATTTTCTGGGATAAATGGGGGAAAATAATTTGTGAACATGTTTAGTCAAACTACTCCGCCCCACGAAGGGAAGCTTCATTAACATAAAACCTCGCGAGGGGTATGACGCAAATCAAGGCAGAGACTTGCCGCGCTGCGAGGGGGAACCGGCATTGCGTGCGTGCAGTACATGCATTGCGACAAAAGTTTCTCTGGTCTTTCGTTCGGAATCGAGGAGAAATAACACCAACTTTCGGCCATGCCGACAAGGTGTGTGGCTGCTGTGTGTAGCAAAACTACCAAGGATGGAGTAAGCCTTCTTTGTTTTCGGTTGATCCGAAATATCGGAGCATCTGGAGAGCGAAAGTGAAGGTTAATACCAGAGAAAAGTGGTCCGGACCCAGTGAGTTCGCGGACCTCTGCAGCGACCACTTTGAGCCGTCGTGCTTTGGTGCTGGTCTGTACAGCAGCTTTGGCATGCCCCTTAAAAACATCAAGTCGGTGTCTGAATTAATTAAACTCTTGATTCGCATCGGACGAATCTGTACAATTTTTATCGGATTCCCTAAGGAAAAAAAGAGGAAGAGTCTTCGAAACTTTCATGGTCATGACGGTCGTCCATGTTTCATTCAACAACCGTGGCACGTCCACATGCAGGTACAAGGTACTACGTACGTGTGCATTATGCCACGCACGCGGCGGCTGCACAGAGCACCTTCGCTAATCTGTCTCATACCCAGATGCATTTACAGGCCCTGGATTTCTCTGCCTTTGTTTACGTCATGAACAGCGCCCTCATTTGGAGTTGCCGCGAAATTCAAAAAGGGGGGTTCAATTTTGGACGGCAAATTACCACACTAAACGTACACCAGAACCAGTTCTGCTTTCAATTCACATTTAATACACATAAATGAATGTTTATATAAAATAAATTACGTTATGAAAATGTTGGACTGCATGTTTCCTTTAATGAACAGCATAGTAGTCCCAACATAATGTCACTGACATTGAATTGGTTGGGACAAACGAAATCACCGATATCGTCATTAATTAAGGTAATAGGTACCATTTGAAGAAAAAAATATATGTGGTTTTGCCAATTTAAGGAACAATAATGTAATAAATGTGAAGCAATTTCTTATGAACTAACTTGTCCAAATTTCAGCTCAGTAGATCCTGCTCTTATTAAAAAGTTTTAAAGCGCATCTTCCATTTTCTCGACGAAAAGCAAGGTTTCTGTTGAAATCCCTCCATTCCAAAATGTTCATTAATATGTCTTACATTCATACTCAGTTCTCATTTACGAATATAAACCGATTGCAAACCCTCCAAATCCCACAGAGTAAAATTAGGGGGACGTTTTAGAGTAAATCTCGCTATCATTTCAGATTGAAATAGTCAAAGCTCGAGTGAAAACTCGATCTTTACGATTGAATGAATTTCCCTCTAAAATATCTGGTCCCTAGTTCAATCCTAAAAGGGCCGGGTTATTTTGACCATCCCTCAGCCGGGAGGGGGGGGGGGGAATTCCCTAAGATCTCGGCCACCGAGTGACAAAAAAATTTGAAATTCGGTACATGCATAGAGCAACTTATCATAAACATACCCAAGAATTGTCATGACTATAGGTCAAAGTGTTTTGGAATTATGGCTAATTAATAATTCATATGTACGAATGGTAATTGTGCTCTATGTACACGACGTGTATGGGAAAGTTCAGTTTTCCCGTGGTCCGATTTTTCAGTTTTTTGTATCGAAAGATGCGCAATGCTCGAGACTAAAAAGTCATAACAGCTCGGGTCGCGAAAAAAAAAAAATGCAAGGCTATCGCGAAAAAGTTGAGGGGGGCCCTTTTAGGGTTAAGTCTTTGGGAGTTATTTTTTTTACTCAAATAGGGTGGATGTTCACTTTTTGGAATTGAAAGAGAACTCAACTACATTTGCTGAATTAGGGAGAGAAGTAGGAAGGGACCGTGTGTTTTCTTCTTGCGATGGGTACGTCCCAACCATCGCAATTCATCTGTTCTTGGAAATGATCGCATACGAAGCGCAGTTATTTCACAGCTTGCTTGATACTACATACTTACAATCATGTACTGGTAGGAAAGTTGATATCTTTTGGTAGTTTCGTTTGTGAATAATTATTTGTGAATGGATTTGTGTCTAATAATTTCCAAGTCAGTTTCGCCCCATTCTGAAAATTAACTTTCTCTTTTTTTCCGCCATGACCAGTTCTTTGATGACCCTCGGAGCATGTATTTAGCCATGTTTGGAGATGAAGTTTTCAGTGTTATTTTTTTTACTTTTGTGTTTATAAAAGGCATGCCCATAAAGCTTCAGTGTGTTTTATCATGACTCTATCTTATCCAATGACTCCTTGTTCTCATGTATCATTTTGGTATTGATGGAAAGACGTGTACTTGATATGAATCGATATGTAATTGAAACATATCGAGAATGTTACATAAATTACAAAAGCCCTCTAAAAAGATAGCAACAAATGCAAGATCTTCCCTTTGTGTAGACATGAAATGTTCCCGTCCACAAATCAATGCAAAGCAAACAAACTAATTGCTAATAAAACATTAAATTCTACTTTTTTTCCAGACCAAAGGAAAATTGCTTCTAGTGAAGACTAACATTTCTTAATTGTTATATATTTCATAGCCTAACTGCATTACAGATCGCCAGAACGGGAACGGTCAGACGGCACTTCATCTCGCCATTGATAAAAGCCATTACAAGTGCATCGAGGCTCTGGTTACCAACGGTGCTGATGTGAACACCCAGGACAAAGATGGCAACACCAGCCTCCATCTGGTCATGATGAAAGAAACCACGAGAGAAATGTTAATTTCTACATCACGCGAGCAGGTAACGGAATTGACGTATTACGTTTAAAATATCGTTCGACAAAAAGCCTAAAATGAAAAAAAGAGATAAAGAAGTGGTCATTATAAACTGCCTGTCATTTTCCCATCATTTTGATAACGATCCAAAAAGAAGTTTGCTCATAAAGGCATGCCTTGATGATTTATTTTAGTTGGCGGATCTTGCGAAGACTATCGAAGAGGAAGGCGGCATTCGTGACGCAAGGACCAACCTCGTTGCGTTAATTATCAGCCTCCTTAAACATGGCGCCAACGTCCGCAAAATGAACAGCAAGGAGAAGGATGTTCTTCACCTCTGCCCAAACGCTGATGTTGAGTCCTTCTTAGCCGAGTTTGGCGGTATTCGAAAGGTAACAGAAGCTAGTAATTGACTTTATGTCAAGCACAACATTTCTTTTAGGTCATTTTGCACGAATTGTTTAGTGTGTTTACAAATCGTTTGGTGTGTTCTTGCTGCCGTTTAAGTCGATACAAATGGCTGAATTATACAGCAAGGAAATGTCTTATTAAAAACCCCGATGCTTTTAAGTATAATTAACATTTGTCGTAATTACTCGAAAACCTACTCGGGCAGTATTTCTTCCTGGATATGAAGTTGCCGTGCAAACCAAGTCAGACAGGCCCACAGATTGGGAAATTAAGAAAGTATGTAAGGAAACAACCGAATACGGCATTAAATAAGCCAAGCCGAAAGAAACTAAATATTAGTCATTAAACTTTTGGATATTAATGCCTCATTCGAAGTAAATCACTGAAATCAAATCAAGGCAAGCGTAGTGAAGCTGGTCCCGGTCGATGGCTAAACAGTTCATAAAAAGCGGGAGTCAAGTGGTAGGGTGATGAATATGAAAAATCCACTTTCGCTGTTCGAATGGAGACTTAGTATTATTGCCTACACGTGTATGATCATGTACATAACACAAGCGGTGCCAGACTAATGCACATTAAGATGTAGATTCTACATGGCATACATGAAAAGGAAAGCCTTGTAAATCTGCTCCCAGACCAATGTTAGTCACTGACAAGTCAGTCAGGGAGATAGTTCTAATTCACAAGTGGTAGTTTATTCAGTGAGTCAGTCAGTAAGTATAACTCAGTCTGGTACAACGAGAAATCTAGTCTGACCCCTCTGGGACAAGCCAAAAAAATCCGAGTCCGTCAAATAGAGAGATCAAATTTGATGATTTAGACAACCAAAATCCATACCAATTTCTCTTTTCGTTTACTTATAGGTGTAGGCCTACAGAGACATTCAAACTTCCTGCCAACTTCAAGACATAACGACGAGGCAAAGCTTTGGTAAAAGGTTACATGTTAATTCTAGACTCTCGTAACATCGTTTATAACTCAATTAATGGGAATAAGCCAGATTTGGGCTGCTAACTATAGTCATTAATTGAAACCCTCGAGGGCGGGGTTCTTTGACATCACAGTAAGGCAGGGGCCTGACACACGTGGTCTCACACCCCTAACGGAATATGGCCAACTTCAAAAACGTTTCTGGTAATGAAATCGGATTTTAAATACTGTGAAACAGCCTAGAAAAGCAAAGATTCGATTTTGATTTTGTTTTAGGGGGGGGGGACTATAATTCTAAGTCATAAGTGTAGCACAAAAGGGTCCCCCATAGGAATGTGCACAGATGTATATATGGGGGACCGTTTCGTACTACACTTTCCCCAAAATTTGCGCGAGAGTGGCAGTGACCTGGGAACTAGCTACCCCCGGAAGTTGTCGGTAATGGTAACGTCTTAGATGCTACGGCAGAACAGCCCGGGCTACATCCGGTTTGGGATTTTCAATAAAACAGACAATTGTTGTAACGATCAATGGTTAAATGCCCCTTTACTACCGGGATAAACTTTTAGTACAAAATGCATTATTCGGGTCATTTAAGGAAAACTACCATTGTCCATGATGTACTTTGATAAGGGTTGCTTTTAAAATTAATGTCAATTCAATAGATATTTATAGACAAAAGCCTTTATCATTGGAAACAGATAATTAAAAGGTAAATCGACATTTTCCAGCCGTGAAATTTGTGCAAAGCTGCATTTTCAAACTTCAGATAACTTTTCTTGCACATAAATTCCGGGCAGCAATTTAAACTAAAGTAAGCATTTTAATTAATCATGAGTTGTCGACAATTCACTAGATATTAGCAATAAGTATGCCTAACAATCCATTGAAGCAAATACGAACAGTGTATGTGTCATCAATTGGATCAAAAGTGGTCAGTGGTTTGTAAAGACTAAATAAATTATTTTAACGCATTCTTTTTTTTATTTGTGAAGTTTAGTATGTAGAACAACATCAACATTCGTAATTTGTCTCAAAACGAAAAATGAAAACTTACAACGTGTCGTCAACTTCAAAGCCTTGCAGATGCTATGAGGCACTCGGGGTCCCTTAACTCATTTACGCAAAAACTCAAATCTAGCTATAAATGAATATCGTTATGTAATTCAATGCTTTATTATCGTCTGATCTCTTGCTTTTGTTGTTATTATATTGGTAATTGTTGTGTTTTATTGCAGATCGCCTGTCTTTTTTTTGTATTTTAATGACTGCTAGACGTTAGAACATGGTATAATAAGGGTTTATAGAAAATGGGAAAGGGGAGGAACAAAATCATTTGGCTTCTCTGTCCGGGCGCGAAGTATTTCTTCCCAGACATCCGGATTACATGGTTGCTGAGCGCCCTCTACGATACTTTTATGATACGTACGCAGGTATATAATTTCCAGGATTTGTCGAGCAGTTCGATAGCTCAGTTGGATAGGATCGTGAATTTGTACCGCGAGGGACCCTTGCGGTATGGGTTCGAAACACCTTTCAACCCGTTTTTTTTTCTTTTCTTTTCTAATATGAAGCTTTAGACGTTTTTTTTTTATTTAAAGAGAAACAATGTCCACATTTTATTCCTTTCAAATTCATTTCTTTTTTTCTAATTGTATAATTGTTTCTCATGCTTTTAAGAGAAATAAGGTCCCAAACGTCGTAGCGTACACCCCTTTCCGACGTCATTTGGGGAGAAAAATAATCGCGGTCGGGCCCACTATGCTGACACTTTGTATACATCTAAGTGAAACTAAGTGTTTTTTTCCTAAAACACTTCTTTTCTTTTGTACACTTTGTTTTATTAATTATTCTTATACTGTGTAAAAAAATTTGAATAAACCAGCAAAATATGTTCCTGAAATAAATACAGCGTAAATGCTCCAGAAAATATTTATTCCCTTTGAACCGGATTTATTGACGTACATTGTGTGTCTAAAAATTATACATTTAGAGAAAAAATATTAAAATACTAGCTCCTATTTTGTTTAATAATATCATAAAGATTAACTAAAGATTGATTGGCAAAGAACAATAGTTAGGTTGCGATTAAACACAATTCTAAACACTTTCTTGCTATCAGTTTGTAAACATGTTTACAAGCTAAACATTGTTGGCATGAGGTAATGGCAAGAAAGTGTTTAGAATTGTGTTTACTCGCTAAACACACCTTTTTCAAAGGCCAGGCAAATATCCGCACAAAGTCAATTAGGCTACCTTGGTCCCACTGCCTACAATTGAAAACTTGGCCCTGTGGTCAATTTGACCTTTTGTAGAACATTTCTCAGAACTTTGTCAAAAATGATCAGATTTGGACGTTTGATACGGCCCTATTCACAACACACACACTGCCATCACAACTCAGCCCTGAATTCCATTTCGGCTTCGTTTCAAAAGTAGCATACTGACGCACGTACCACTCCAGTGTGTGTGTGTACATGTACGCATATCGTAAAGATCAAGCGAAATGTTTTTGTAAGCATTTAGAGGCAATGTTTCTTAAATAGAGATTTGTACATGTATGTTGCGCTTGCTTTATTCGGTGTCGACACCGCATTAAACAAAACAAAAACACAATTTATTCTTTTAAAGATTAGTCTTTAAAACTCACGATGATACTAGCTTCAAAAAAGACCGATAAAATGCATTTTAAATCACTTATTTTATGTTTATTGCAATGCCTCTGGACTGTATGAAAAATATGCAACCTTTAAAATTGCAATATCAATGTTTATGTAAAACAACCGAGGGCGCAGCTGTTGCGGTGACGTATATTTGGGCACTAAAATTAACTTAACCAACCTCACCCTATCAGTAGATACTCCGAATCAAGAAAACTCTGAATACAATTTTGCTAATTTTAAAAATACTACCAAAAATATCTTACAGGTTCCAATATTTAATCAACCTCTTACCATAATCCTTAAACTCTGTGTAAACGCATTTGCCTTCCACTTAGCTATAAAGCAACATATGAATTATTTAATTGTATTGGTAAATGACAACTTATTCTCCACTTAAATTCTTTTTGGATAAAACGAAATAACTAAAACTAAATGAGCGCATTTTGCTAAGACGTATTTCGAATAACCAAAATAAACTACGTTAAGCATTCACGCTCTGCAAAATAAGATTGAAATGCAGATATTTCTCAATATATAAATCATTCCCAAAATGTTCCTGGGACATTACCAGCACACTTTCGCAAAAAGTGGTTCGGCCACCATTCTATACAAAACCTCATTGGCCGGGGGTTTTGTGCGTAAACCTTATCAGTCAGCCGATCACACTCATTGACCTCGGCAAAACCGCAAGTCCTATCATGAAGAATTAGTTAACCGGACCAATTTTTTTTTCCGAGAGTGTGATTCTAATGCGCTAAGGTGGGCTTTTAAAAAAGAACTTTTGCAACTGGAAAAGACACTTTGGAAACATCCAATCAGTTTGGATATTAGGCAAAAAAAAAAATAAGTCGGTCTCTGATCAGCGCGCGCGTCAATTTTAATCATGCGCGTCGATCTTTTTTTCCCCAAAATGTTTCGCGGTAGCTCCAACAGCGCCCTCTATATCCGCACCTCCTCAATTATTTTTACCAAAGAGCACCAAGGAATGGGAAATTGCACCAAGGCAAATAATCGAAAGCAACTAGGTAAATTATGGAGGACACCAATGTACATGAGGACACCAAAAAAAAAAATATAGTACCCCACCTTGTCTGTTCAATCCAAGCTTGAAGAAAAAGAAAAAAAAAGCGGGGAGAAAAAAGCCGCGTGGCCGCGTCAATTCCGGAACTTTGGTCTGACCAGAGACCGAATATTTTTTTAGGGGGCTTATGCTTCATGAATTTCTGAAAAAACGAGCACTTTTCTAAACAGTATTTAATTACTGTTATTTTTCAGTGTGGTGTTGGTGGTGGGGGGCTACACAGACGATATATCCGAATGGCACAATCAGGCCGACAGCGGGCGCAATAATCTCGCGAGTGATTAGGGTTCAAAAATTTCGACGCGAGTCATTTGCATAAAAAGTGACCCCACAATTTTTTTGTAAAAAACGATACCGTCTAGTTTAAAAATCGATGGAATCATACGAATATAGCCAAGGATCATCTTTTTAGCTTTTGGGTTATTATCTAAGAGTAGATTTGATAAAATTAGGGTCCAAATACGGGTCCTATTTGCACAAAAAATTATAGGGATTCCATTTGTAAAAATTGGCCGCATGCAGGCTCAACCAGTACCAGCACACTTTCGCAAAAAGTGGTTCGGCCACCATTCCATACAAAATCTCATTGGCCGGGGGTTTTGTGCGTAAACCTTAACAGTCAGCCGATGACACTCAATTGACTTCGGCAAAACCGCAGGTCCCATCATAAAGAATAAGTTAAGCGGACCATTTTTTCCGAGAGTGTGATTCCAATGATCCTTATTATAATAACTGCCCATAAGCGTTGATTGCAGAGAATAACAAGTATTCCAAAATTTAGGCCATAGGATGACCCTCTCCCCTAAACCCCTCTCCACCCGTTTCTCAGAATGTTCAACTGTGGATCAAGTCGATCGAGACGTCCTTGTGTCAGCACAATGAAATGTAAAAGTACTTTTACATTCCACTCTGCTAAAATTGACTGAAGAAAATATGATCGACCTATCCAGAGAAATCTACGTATGTACATGTACATGCTCATTTAAAGGTACAAAATTAAGAAAAATTGTGGACAGCTCCAGTGGTGTTGAAGAAAAACATGATAAATGTCGTGCTTTTAGATCTAAAAAATTGACGCGTTATCACTCCAATTCCATAAGACCTTTAATGTCAAAGGAATGACTCAGATCTGTGATACGTTTGGCGTCTTCTTACTAGACAATCGAGTTGTTGTAGTTGTAATGTTCTCTTACTGGACTTTGCAGCCTTTATCTTTATAGGTGTATGCCCGTGAAGAGCTGGAAAAAAAGAGAAACAAAGCATTCCCTCAATTTTGTTCCGCTGGAATATGTGAATTCTGCATATCAGTTCACACGATGGTCAAACAAAGCAGTGCAATAAAAGAAAGCTTTTAAAGACTAAATGAGCAGGATGATTGTCCAGTGCCCATGGGCCTTATGCATTAGGTATCCATCTTTGTCGAGTTCCCTAGATGCATTTCATAAATTATTAACTGTTGAATGAGATGGCGCCAGACTATTTATGTAGCCTTATTTTATTTGGGTTTTTTTTATCTGGCTTAAAACATTAGGGAATGTTAAATTATAAATTCTAAATTATTCACTATTTAAGCACACTTCAATTAATGAGTAATTTACTTGCTTTTATTTCTCTTCGCTAGTTCCAAACATGAAGATGTTACCTCACTTTCAATTCAGTATGGCCGACTCGAGCATAAGGCCCATGTTCTGAGCGGGAAACAGCTGGATGTACTGCATGATGATTTCATCGGACACGTGAATTGTGAACGATTGCAAATCGTGTTTTATTTCTTTTGTTTCCCGCAGATACATTAATACGAAAATACATAGGATACATAAAAAAATTGCATTTTTTCGTGGATGTGTGGCTCATTTCCGATGCCCCCGGTCCTCTCTGATGTCTCCTACTTCTGGCACACTGTATATTGAATAACTTCTTTTTTTTTTAAGATATTGTAAGTCGTATGCATTTTTTTTACTGCAAATCCTCACCTTGTTTGTTAACCACAACTTCATGTTTATTAGACCTGTAAGGGTTATTAGTCTGTAACCACAAACCTGGATTGTGTATTTACAAAAGTGGCATACCTTAAGAGCCTCACCTTTTGTTTCGTACGTTTTTCGTCATCAGAATTTCATCGCTTGTATCAAGGCCAAGGGGAAGGTCGACAAAGTTGACCTCTTTGTTGTTCTTTCTTCCTCTCTCTGACCCGAATGTGTGGTATTCGGCTGAATGCGCCCTTGCTTGTCACGGCACCTTGCAACATGAACAGCGTAATACAGTCGTAGTGGCTCTCTTCAACGGCAATATCTAGGGCTGTCTGCCCTTCTGCCGTCCGGGCACCAATATTGCAGTCTTCCTGAAACGCAAATATTGTCACACTATTAAACCGGGAAAAAGATCGGCCTCAGGGCCGAATTTCGGGCTGCAGGGAGCGCTATAACTGACATAACAGTTATCAGATTGGCAGAGTTGTAAAATGTAAATTAAATAAGAAAGTTAGTTAACAACTTTTAAGTGTAAAATCGTACATAAATGCTGTAAAAGGGATCACTTGATGTAAACCAAAAAAATATCAAAATGTCTGGCGACCTGCTGCCATAAGTACAAATTATGTTTTACAGTGTAAAACGCATCTCAGAAAAAAATGGCATTTTCTCCTGTAACCTTCAATTTTTGATTGGACGGCTCTCATTTAGTGGTATAATTTGGACTTTTCAACGACTTCATTGACATTGACATTGACTACCTAATTGAATACAATCACTTAATGGTTATCCCTGCATACTTATCTAACCTGCTGGAATAATGTCTCCATAACCTTCGCACAGCCGTTGATAGCGGCAATGTGTAGCGCTGTAAAACCGTCACTTTTTGCGATGTTAATCATGGACGGTGAGACTCTCAGTATCTTCTCCGCGGCACTGCAAGAAGAACCGAAATATTGTGTTTTTCGTTGATTTTACTTTGAGTTTAATTAAGGTCAGAGTGAAAGTAACGTTGACAAACAGAATTTTTGTTTCTACTTTTCTACTTTTTGCAACCTCAAAAGCAGGTTTTACTATTTGCCCTTCACTGGCGTTTCAAAAATGGTCATTTGCCTTTGTGCTCACATAAAAGCCTCAGATCGAACGTTTTATTACGGTGGTTCCAAAGTGGTCATCTTTTTTTCTGCTACAAAACCTGAGCAGATTGATTTCTGAACGGAACTATGCCACAGTAGTACCCACCACAACATGGGCGATTCCAAATGAATCCACCTCCGTCGTAACTTAGGATTGTGCAAGTTGTGTTAAAAGCGTGAAACTTCGCATGTTGGTTTCTTTATGCCATGAAAAACATTTTCGGATATGGAGGCATTTCATATTTGACCTTCGGTGACCTTTGAGAGGTCAATGAACTTAACATACTCTATTCATAACTTTTGTTCTTCAAAACTTCACTTTCCTCTGACCCAAGTCTATGTCCTTAGTCTTCATACAAAGAAAATAATGATCAGATGTGGGGAAAAAAAATCTTATCTGACCTGTGACCTGTTTAAAGCTATTTGTAAGATTAATTTTTTGACGATTCATGTATCAATGAAAGGTGTTCCTGCTATAAAGAGAATTATCATATAGAGGCCATTTCATATTCAACCTCTGGTGACCTTACGAGATGACATGACCTTTGTAAAACCATAGCCTACCTATGGATATTTATAAGATTTACACAATTGTAAATGCTACTTTTGTTTAAAATTTCAATCGTTGTGCCATGAAAAGTATTTTCGGATGTCGGGACGTCATATTTGATGTAGTGATACCCTTGGAAAGGTTAACGAATTCTATATATCTTAATTGCTGCTATTTATCATATTTATTCGTCAAAACGCCATTTTATCGTGAGCCCAACCTCAACAGTGCCAAAGAACGGTATTGAACCTATAAGCTTACAGTCATGTTATGAATTCACACCCCGCAAACAATTTTGAGTTGACCTCTGACCTCGTTTCTCCCTTTTTTATTGGCAGACGCAATATGATGAAATTGGAATAGAAATTCGTGGGTCCATTTTGTAATGGTAAATGTACCTATGTCAAGCAAATATTCACTCTTTTGTACTTATTATACCCTGTTGTATACACATGGACTTGGATGACCACGTTTTTAACCTTTTTACCAAACCCATTGGTCACTGTTATAGAGTGATTCTTGTTCAATGTGCCTCTTACATTTATTGCGCCTGCGTCTGCCCTAATTAAAATGAAAAATTTAGATCAGAGGTCATACAAAAAAAAAAACATTTTTGGGGTCTGACTTCATGTATGCTTTAGAATAATGATTTAAATAATCTCCTTTTGCACTTTACACTTTGGTCATGAAAAAGTGGCATTCGGCAGATTAAACATGACAAGTAACGGCAATCTGTGTATGCAAAGTTCATTGACCTTGCAAAGGTCGACAAAAGTCAAATATGAAATGTCTACGTTTCTGAATATTCATATCATGGCAAGAATACCCAAAATGAAGATATGGGTAATAAAAGAGTGGTGTTTTGAATAGTTAATCCTCTTATTATTTATGAATAGGAAACGCAAAGCTCATTGACCCCTAGGAGCCCATCAGAGGTCACATATGAAACTCCCTACATGTAAAACTCTTTTCATGACATTGTGACTTGGGTCTTAAAAAAAAAATTGGGTTTAAAGGGTTAGTCGTATAAATAACCATAAATAGAGTTTGTGCAGTTAATACAAAGGTTATTGACCTCTGGAATGTCATCACACGTCAATTGTGAAATTGTACCGCATTTGGTCGTAATTTACATTGAATGAAAACTATGCAAAGACTTAGGTCATAGGAAAATGATGTGTTCAAGAACAATAGGTATAAATATAGTATTCAAAGGTCATTGACCCCTCAAAGGTCACCAAGGGTCAGATATGACATGTCTCTATATCTGAAATTTGTTGTCATGGTATGAAGACCTCACATGCCAAGTTTCATGCTTCTATCACAAAATGCACAATTCTGTCCAAATGCCTCACCAATACTAAACTTTTTCACGCTTCACAAAGGTGATTGACACCATTGGTGCTCAGAATACGGAACTCGGCCGAAAAAAAGGTCGGTTCACACAATTTTGATTATGCCGACTGCTGTAGTTAACGCTTTTCTGTTAACGATTTACCTTCCATGACCGTAACTACTGGGTCGGACGAGGATCGGAAAGGTAAATCTCTGTATTTTACGCTCGAGAAATCGGGACAGACGGGAATACTTTGCCAGTAATTTTCAAAATAATGCATTGAATCTGGAAAATATCCTTGAATCAATTTTAAGGGATTTTTACCATTGGCTACTTGTGATATTAATATTAGATTCAAGGCATAATTTTTTTAATTAGTGTGAATTGTTCCTGTCTTTCCCGATTTTTGAGCGTTTCTCGAGCGTAAAAAACGCGGATTTATCTTTCCGATCCCCGTCCCCTGGAGTTATTGTCGTGAAAGGTGTTCCTTCTCTAGGTATTGGTTTTCTGCATTTCTAATGAAAGACAACTGTTAGAGTCTGCAGCAGTCGGGATCAACAGGATTGTTTCCTCCAATTTGGCTTCTTTGTTTAAGCCTACTTTTTTTCCGCCGTGTTCTGTATTCTGCGCTCCAATGGAGTCAATTACCAGTGCGAAGAGTGAGACGCGCTTAAAACGGTCTGTGGATTGCATGGGGATTCAGGCATACACTCGCTGTGATGACGTAAAGGCGGAGACACTTGCAATCGTCCTTTTTTTGGTGGGTACTACAGTGGCATAGTTGCGTTCGGCAATCAATCTGCTCAATTTCTGTAAATGAAAAGCAGATGGCCACTTTCAAACAACCGTGACAAAATGCTTAATCTGCTTTTCTGGTGGCAGAAAAGCAGATGTTTCTCTTTGAACCCGTGAAGGGCGAAAAGTAAAACCTGCTTTTCTGGTAGCAGAAAAGCAAGAAAGTGTAAACTTGTGTTTAAGCAAAAAGTTCACTCTGCTTTTCTGGTAGCAGAAAAGCGCAGAAAGCAGAAAACTGCATCTGCAGATGTCCCCTTGGAACCTCTAATGACCTGTGTACAGTTATAATTCTGTGCTTGGCCGTGTTAGGCCCATTCTGGAAGTTTAAAACATTTCTTAAAATACAACCTTAACAAAATATAACATGTACCATCTCTCCACCCCTCTTCCCTGCCTGAATGAGAAAGGAACGTTTTACGTACAAATCATTTCCAAACAAGGCTGCTAAATGCAAGCAGATTAATCCGTCGTTGTTCTGCAGCCTTAGATCGTCATCTGTCATGTGTTCAATTAACAAATCTACCATGAAATCGTGTTTCTCTACGATTGCTGCGAAAAGCGGTGTGTCTCCAAGGATATCCTACAAAAAAGGGGAAAGAAACATTATAATACCCACAGTGCCAGCAAGAACATTTTGAAAAAATGAAACGATTGCCTGACTTATTAAAGGAGAAAAAAAGTTCCTCAAAAATGTACTATTTGTAACTGGGAAGAAAGCTATTGAGAAGACAATGATGATGTCAGTTTTAGAGATGCCTTCAAAGGAAAGACCTGGTATGAGATTCTGGCAGCCGATTTCACGAAAACTTGGCGTAGCTGCGCAACGTTTAAATAATTTTAATAATTGAACGAGGATAATAACAGCAATTACGTTGGCCGTTTGTATATTAATTTGTTTGTTCACGAAACAGTCGTTGGATCCCCTCAGCCCGCCATTTTGAAATTTAATTTGTCCGACTTTATTCGGAATCGTGCGGCGACTCCAAAAAATTCGCACGAGTAAAAAAGAAATGAATTTATTTCCAACAAGCAGCTGTGAGTGTGTTGTATCAACCTTGATAAGATGTGATATAACTGGCTCCACGACGATCACGATTTTTGGTGTTAAAATGGGTAATTTTCAGTCGCTACGCTACAATTTACGCTACCTAAAATGGCTGCGCAAGTTAGTAGTAGTAGTAGTAGTAGTAGTAGTAGTAGTAGTAGTAGTAGTAGTAGTTGTAGTAGTAGTAGTAGTAGTAGTAGTAGTAGTAGCTTCTAGGCAAAAGACCACGCCACGTCACTTTCTGTCATGGGTTCTAAGATGGCTATGAAGTCCGATGCGTGATGGACATCTTCTCCCACACATAGGGCAAGTTGCGCCATAATTTAATGCGCAATTCGCGGACTTATACGCACTATACCCTATCATGAGATGTTTTATGTGAAATAATGCGCAGCCTGAAATGTTGCGCAGCTTATTACGCAATGAATTGTGGCGCAAGCGGAGTTGCGTACGATTTCGTGAAATCGGCTGCAGGGACTCAGGCATGCAGGGACTAAAAACATATTTCTAATATCTGCCTGGATAGCTAGGATTCGGCCATGAGTCTCAGAGTTGGAACAGAAGAGAGGATTACTGGAACTCGGTCTAGCCAATCCCTTGGGGAGTTAAGATACTGTAACCTTAACTGTTGCCAGACTTCGTGAGGAAACTGATGAAGGTACGGTGAAGGACATAACAAAGAGAGTTGTTTTATCCACATACACAAAAGTTCAGTATTGCATTAATATTGTTATTCTATTGACTCCATCTGAAAAACTGAGAATAAATGTCGTCATGTTGTTATACCTCCACGCTTGTTCGTGACTTATACAGGGCGAGTAAAAAAAAACGAAACCAAAATGTCGTGACCATTGTTTTAGTGAAGTTCTGCATGTAGCACTTTCAAAATCTAGTATATGAAAGCCCAATTTATAAGCTTTATTTTAGTACACGACTCATTCAAATCACTATTGTAATTTTTTATACAGAAATTTTAAACACAAGTTACAGAATTTTAAACACAACCACCGTTTTAAAGTTCTGACCACGGATCATAAAAATCTAAGTTTTCATTCAGCAAAACAAAAACAAATCACACTAGGGATGTGTGTGAATTGGGTTGTTGTTGTTTTTTTGCTAAAAGAACGCAAACTTTTTTTTGTGATCTGAGGACAGAAATTTAGAACGGTGGTTGTGTTTAAAGTAATTTGAATGATTCTTGTACTAAACGAAAGCTTATGAATTGGACTGTAATATCTAAGATTTTGAAAGTGCTACATGCAGAACTTCACTATAACAATACATTAGTCGCGACATTTTGATTTCGTTGTTTTTTGTTTACTCACCCTGTATATGTGCATATGAGTTATGATAGAGAAGCACTGCTGTGTAACGCTGGTGATGTAGGTAAACAGTATAAAGAACATTTCAAAGCGGTGGTTATAACTATAAAAATCATTAATTCCCAAGCTTTCGGACCCTGAAGAAGGACCAAGGTACGAACACTTGGGAATTATTTTGGTAAGCACTGCTTTGAATTGTCTGTGTTGTTGACCGGCATATGAGTTAGACGATATTGTTTTGCTGTCTCTTTCGATGTGTCTATCTTTCATTTGTACTTTATATCTTTCTCGTATTTGGCCCCATTTCGTGATAATTCCAGCTCAATCATCACAAGCCATTCTAACGAATAGAAGAAATGAGAAACATTTCTTTGCTACTCCAATTCATGTCGGAAAAAATGACTTTTCAACTCACTTGGCTGTTGACATTACACGGTCGCAGGCCAGATTTTAGGAGAAATCTTGCGCAATTGTCATGACCCTTACTAGCAGCTCTATGTAGAGGAGTCACCCCAGATTCGTCTGCCGTGTTTGGGTTACTTCCAATAAGCAGCAAGTACAGGACAACATCTTGGTGGTTTCTATGGCATTACCAGCGACAGGAAGTTAATGAAAGAGGGCTATACCCGATGTTCCCCAATACCTATGTTCCCCAATACTGATGTTCCCTTAAATCATTAGGATTAAGGTTTAGGGTAAGGGGTAGGGTTAGAGTTGGGGAACATCGATATTGGGGAACATAGGTATTGGGGAACATGTGTATGCACCCAAATGAAAGTGCGTTTGTTCTTAAAACAGTCGTATTCGTGAAATAGACGTACTCGAAATGTGCATTCTTTCAGCAAAACGAAAAAAAATTACACACATGTCGTAAGCAACACCACGAAGTAACACTCATGTACATACCAGTAAAAACTAGCTGTCGGAGAAACGGCATCTAAAGTTGAACGCCTTCTAAAACGACACTTTGCGTCAAAACGGCAGAGTATTTTCAGTTGGGTTTCCCGTTGTGGACACTTGATGAATTGAATGTATTAAATCTGCTGTTTTCACCCGTTTGTGTATTAAATCAACGAGAAATAAGAGAAAAAAGGTGAGTGTTAGTTCGTGAAACCGGAAAGGCTGCGAAGCTGTAAATTTCCGTTGTCACGAAGTAACATTCTTCACACGAGGAAAGTGCAACTTCAGGTCAGCGCGCGCGCGCTCATACAAGGACAGTGTTACTTCGTGAAAGCGAAAATTGTCACTTTTGCGCAAAAGTTGCCATGGATAATTAGCGTAATAATTAAAGTAAAGCTCTTGAATCTTTGAAACTTCGTGCAATGGTAGGCCTTGATGAATAATGTTTAAAAATGCAAGAAACTGAAAATCGGAAGAAAAAAAATGCTTTAACACGTAGAGTGTTACTTCGTGGTGTCGGTGACGATGTGATTTGTTTTGTTTTTGCTGAAAGAACATTTACCTTTTTGTGATCCGTAGACAGAACTTTAAAACGATTGGTTGCGTTTCGGTTTAAATTCCGTAACTTGAAAATTACATGAGTGATTTGAATGATAATTGTACTAAAACAAAGCTTATAAATTGGGCTTTTATATCCTAGATTTTGAAAGTGCTACATGCAGAACTTCACTAAAACAATGGTCCCGGCATTTGGGTTTCGTTTTTTTACTCACCCTGTATATATAAAAAGTATTTTTTTTTTGCCGAATTTCAATTAAGGGAATTGATCTGTGCATGGGAGGTGTTAAACACTTTGTTAAGACTGGTTGGAGTCTTAAATGCTGATTAATTACCCGAGGCGAACCCATTCATAAATACCTTTTCAGTCAAAAAAATCTAAACTTGTCTGTCCAAAAGTCAAAACAAGTCAAAAATAAAAAGAAATTCCAACGATGTTGTTCAAAAATGTTACTTGCTCTTTTTCGAGACACCCCTCTAGCTATATGTGACGAAAATGCCCCCAAATCCCACTTTTTACTTAAGTTTCTTCACTCTAAATCTTACCTATATCCTCCTAGAGATCTGGCATTTTCGTCTAGTACATTCCTGTTGTTTTTTTAGGTTTTATTTCCAAGTAGTTTCGAGTATTTTCCTGCCGAAATTCTGTGTGTACACTCACGTGTATGTTTACACATGTCAGCTGTGCTATAAATAGCGTGATGGTAAAATCCAACATGGCTGCCATTTGAGCGGCAGCTAAAACGTTTGTGATTGGATGAAATTTATAAAATTATTTCTAGAAAACTGAGACTTCTGAAAGTAATTTATATTATTAGAAAGTTGGGATAAATATTTATCTAGCTTCTTTAGAGGTAAAGTTGTCTAATTTGAAGCAACTGTGGAAGTTAGGAAAGTTTTGATGACTTTTCTGTCAGATTTCGTAAGTCAGTGACTGACTCATGAATATTCATATCTGTGACATCACTGAATTTTCTTCAATGAACTTAAGGTTTGTTTACATTCATTCACTACTTGTAAAAGTGAGCATTTTTGGGATTCTGTATAATTTATTCACATTTTTAGAGCAGATTTACTGTAAGGAATGTATTGAAGAATAATTTAAGCCTTTTTGTGGAATATTTTGCTGTATAATTTTGGAGAAATTTAGGGGAAACTATCGCTATGTGAATTCAGTATACTGTGAGTTTTACAAATATGGGCGTTGCCTATTTACTAGCGCGTACTTTTGACTTGGCACTGGGCGCGTAGCCAATAGGGTATAAATAGGGCAGATTTTGTTCATTCTGGGTTCTTTGGTTGGTGTTGGTCCAAGGTTAGCTGCGAGCTGTACTGTTGATCTCTAAAGACTGCATTTACACATAGTGCTTTGGCCAGTTTGGGGAGCTGAGATACTTCGAGAGTAAGTCATCTTTTACTACTTGAGTTGGGGGAGCCAACTTGAATTAAATTGGGGAGCTGAGCTGAGCAAAGTTTTGGGGAGTCAACGTTTGGGGAGCTAACTTTTGGGGAGCCAACTTTTGGGGAGCAAAGTTTTGGGGAGCAAAACTTTGGGGAGCCAGAGTCGGAGAGTGGGTATCTAGACAGCTAGTAACTGTGACGTACATCAGTTGTAGCTGATATTTTTAATTATTAAGACACTGACAGGAGTCAGGGGATCTTGAGATATATTTGAAGTCAGGCTGCTGAGTCGGATTTCATCGAGGAGGATTAAGAGAGGCCTGGGGCCTAAGTGTATTATAGAGGATTAAGAAGGGCCTGGGGCCTAATTGTATTTTATCGAGAAGATAATCTAAGCTGGATCCTGAGGAAGCTTGTGTATTTATTTCCGAAGGATAGAGGCTTAAACGGTGCCTATTTGTGAATTTATTGGACAAGTTCAAACGATACTTGGTCCAATTTTTGTGACTCGCCCCCTCCCCTTCCTCCTTGGTGTACTGAGGATTCGTACAACTTAGGTTAATTTATTGCACTGAGTAAAGGAATAATACTGGATTGTAAATACAGAGTGTAAATATACCTGTCCTGATTTTATTAATTATTGTTGCGGATACAACAAGTTTCTTATAACTTGTTATTGTTGTTATTTATATTGTTGCGGACCAGGATTAAACAATCCTTACGAGTTTTGTTCTGAATTTCTGGATTCCTGTCTGTATTTATTTAAGTCCTCCTCCCATTGAGATATTCTTCTTGTAGCTTCGTCATATATTTTGACCAGGATCCATGTCAGCTATCGAGAATTGCTCAACTGGAGAGGCGAAACTCCGGAGGTTTAGGCCTTAACTATTTCGCCTGGTGGCAGCGCTATCTATCTATCACCGTCTATTTCCGTCTATTAAAGATAATTTGTTATTTTTTAGACAGCCGAGGACAGGTGCGCGTCTACTCATCGCAGTAGTTCCTCGGTCTATATATTTTTTCCCCCTTGTTACATTTTCACCACATATATGGAGTGTCCAGCTCACGAGTAAGACGCAAACAACTCCTTTTATGACGATTTGCATGCATGTCACGCGTACTGCTCGATGACGCGCAGATTCTGCTGTGGTGAGTGCGTTGTGAATTTAGGACTATGAAATACTGCTTCACTGGTACTGTTGCGCATGCGTGAGGATTGAGAACGTTCAACCAGTTAAACGGTAAAAGGCACAAGATTTCATAGGAGTCCAAATTTTATTTGACACTTGAAAAGTGTTTAAGACCTGCCAGCCATATCTTTATCATCCGTTTCAGACCGGTCACGTGACGGGCTCTCAAAAGGTATTTATGAATGTTTATATAAAATGAAAGAAGGAAAGGATTAAGAAGTAGTGCGTATGGATCTGGTTCTCATCTGAATTCTTCATTTATAAACATCACATCATGGTGATTAACAAATTTACCCCATCACAGCGTACGAAAGGGCAGTATCTCCATCTTCGTCCTGTTGTTCCAGGGAAGCCTTACCGTCCACCAAAGCGATTACAACATCAAGATGGCCCAAATGAGAAGCTGCATGAAGCGCGGTAATCCCTCGCTCATTCCGATATATCACCTACAGATGAAATGCCTATATAAATAGGGGTCCAAACACTGGATTTTGCAATATTTATTAGTAGCGCGAATAAAAATCAACCATTACGAAATCGTTCCAATTTTCTTTGATTTCATCATTTCTTCCAAAGATTCATGAATTTGAAACTTGGCAATCCACCATGCAAATACCAATGCATTATTTTTTTTTCATAAAATAACTAACAGCGCCTTCAATCAGTCCATTCAGAGTTTGGTCTTTTGGTTCTTACCGCACTGGGGTAGATGCTGAGTATTTCCCGCACTTTACCTATGTCACCATTTGCCGCAGCTTCGAAGAGAAGTGCACCACCTCTCACGTATTTTTCTAAAGAATTATACAATTAAATAATCTTGTCATCCAAAACAATCGATACAATTGTTTTACGAAGGTAGCATCTCTATTCCTTACATTTTCTTTTATACGGTTTGTATAACTTTGTGTGCTGTTCCAGCTCTTCCAATTTAACAATAATACGCTAGTTTTGTAGTATACATACGGGCATTTGTAATCGCTCTTCCCGTAAAAACTTGCCAACAGTGCAAATTGAACATTTGCCTTTGGCATGGGTGTTACAACTGATAATATAGTATACAAATATTGAGTGGCTCAGCGTGGAATGGGAGGAATATTATCGCAAGGTAAAATCTGGACTTTTCCAATTCACGAGGCGAAGCCGAGTGAACTGGAAAAGTCCAGATTTTACCAAGCGATAATATTCCTCCCATTTCACAATTTAAAGCTACTCAATATTTGTTTTATATAACTGACATATAGATCCTTGTCATTTGATATATTTGAACTTTTTTTTTCAATAGAAAACTGAGAAAAAATGTATTTCTCTATTCCAAACCACCCCTTCACGAAAATGACTGAACCCAACGCTGTAGCGCTGGCTCTTTGGAACAATACGCGCTACGCGCAACGCTGAACGCGCACACCAGCATGCATTTGCACACAAATACCGCGTTAGATCACTAACTGTTGAATAGTATACAAATATTGAATGCTTCGAGTGGTGTAGTAAAACTAGCCTCCCGAGGTGATCCATGGACATTCTATTTTCCCGAGGCGAAGCCGAGGGAAAATAGAATGCTCCATTGATCACCGAGGGAGGCTAGTTTTTCTTCACCACGAGATAAAGCATTCAATATATGTTTTATAACACTTCACCCACAGATTCTGCTTGGTTTTAATATTTTAAATTATTTAAATCTGAACACATTTGAAATAAACTTCAATTTCAATACAAAATTGGTGGAAAATGTATTTCTCTCTTCCAAACTACCCCTTCGCGAAATGTTTGAACCCAACTCTGTGGCGCGCTCTCTTTGGAACGCGCAACTCGCAACGCGCACACCAGCATGCATTATTTTGCACACAAATACTGCGCCGTGGAAATAGTACTTTGGTTGCTAATGGTATAGTACTTTGGTTGCTACGGGTATAGTACTTTTGGCCGTGCACAGAAAGATAGCAAAAATAGAAAGTGTCATGTGACTCGCTTTCGGTCAATCAAGACACAGAATCTGCGGGTTAGGTGTTATAATATTTCCCATTCCCCATGGGCGGATAGTACTTTTTGAGCCGCGGCGTGAATGGGAGCAATAATGAATGTCACGTGATATGAGTTCCACCAATCAAATGATTAGGATCTGTATGTCAGTTATATAATAATCAACAGATAACGAATCACCAACCGATGATTTCACAAAGATTGACCAATACTGAATCACAAACCGATAATGTAACAATTGCTTGATAGCTGTAGTACGTTTTACTACACTATCGGTCATTTTTTGTTTCATTATCAGCCCTAGCCGAAAGTGTAACAAAAAAAATGACTATTACTGTTGTAACATTTCTTACACTATCACTTAATTTTAGTTAGATTATTGGTTAGTGATAGAATATCGGTCAATTTGTGTGACATTATTGATTGGTGATACCTTATCGGTTGGTTTCTATATTGTCACTTGCAACACATGTCTTTCGAACTCTACATTAGGGACCATTGAAAGTGGTGCGGGTACGGGATGGGTGTACAAATCAGTCGTTATAGGCGCCAATTACCATTTTGTGTGTTTTCTTCATCCAACCAACATAAACGAATCTCAAAGGGGCATTACGGACTAAAATCCCCCAAAAATCACATTTGGATAATTTAAACGTCTAGTTGAAACTAACCTAATGTCCTATAGTTCCCGATAAAGGACGGACAACACCGGGTGTTTACATCGGATGCGGCGAACATTTTGTGGCATAAGCATACGTATTTCCAGCCGTGTCCATTCAATGTACGGTACACGTTGGTTGTGTGTGTGCCACATAATAAACGCAGCACCAATACACAAATAGTGTTTCTCGCACGCCCGCTGCCGTAACAATAGCCACTGCGTTCCATTAAAACTTCTGGCTTCTGGCCAAGACTGGTTTGCGAGGGGTTGTTTAGGTAGCCTAGGCAGTAGGCCCTATACAAATTTGTATTCACATGCTTGCATGGTCAAGGGTTTAATTTTATTTGATTTCTTTGTACATGTACATGTAGCTCTACTGAGTGGAGTGTTGAACTACCGTACGGTACCCTCCGTACAAACGCTTCACCGATTTGGCATACTTTGGTGACTGACAGGTAGCTAGTCATAGGCCCCTATGTCCCCGCGCCGTCTGACAGTATGGGTTTTTGGCGCGGGACACATATTATTAAGCGCGACTTGTTTTTCTTCAAAAGTGACGTCACACACGCGCGCGATGAATTATGCATTGGTCATGTCAGTGAAATGGTTGTACAACTCGGCAGACACATTTGATTGTGAGCGGTAAGTTCAGACTAGGGCACTAGGCCCTATTTTGTTCTTTTTTCAAAATTACCGGTTGTTTGGAACAATTTAAGGGGTCTAGTTATGGAATGTCATGAATGTGTGGATCTATCCAGGGTTACTGTCTTTCTCATTTGTATTGTTGATGTACCCTAACGTGGCGCGGCCCCCAACGTGGCGCACTTTGATTTTCGCCTGTAGCGCCTACCTAGAGCAAAAGTTTTAACTGAAATTTCACAGAAAGTGAAATTTCATCAAGCTCTAAACACTCCTATTCATAAATCGCGAGTTTATTTACCCGTAACAAAGTTAGAAGAACAATTTATTTTGGCGTGATTTTCCGATTTTATTTTCAAGTGCAAAGTGAACCCTTTGAAAATGCCCCCAAAAAATAAAAAAATAATTTTCTGACAAACATCTGGCTGGGTATATAAGTAGAGATAATAATGATTTATCACAATTTATCAAGTTTACAGAAATTCTTAAATGTTAATTTGGAATTTTCCGAGCTTTATTCAAGTGCGTCACGTTAAGGAACACTCCGCCAATTTGTGCCCAATTTCCGGACGCCACCGTTTTTGAATTTCAGATTGAATTTTAAGAAACCGAAATTGTTCACAGAGGTTATAGTGCAAGCATTAATAAGGTAAAAGTACTAGTATTTCACTGCATGAATTTGAGGTTTGTCAACAAAGAGGTTTGGCAACACTACACGAGGAAATTGGGGTAAGCTTCGAAGTGCGCCACGTTAGGGAACACGACTATATTCTCTTTATCAGGTTTTTTTGGGGCCTTTTGTCCTCGCGAGGGCATGCACAAAATGCATGCTGTCATGATGACCGTGTACCTGTCACCAAAGTATGCCAAATCGGTGGAGCGTTTGTACGGAGGGTACCGTAGTTTAACGCTCCACTCCGTAGAGCTAATTTCTTTGTAATTTCCACATAGATACTGATAAGGATTCCTGAGTGATTAGGCCTGAAAAAAAATCAAAAAAATGATGCAACCTGATGCCACTTTAAACTTTTAGTCCCATAAACCATTGTGTAGGGCCTAGGCCTATGAAAAAATCATAAATGTGACTCAACTGGACTACTTTATTTGATTTTTGGCTCCCCTAGCAACAGGACCATCTGCCGTATGTACATGTATGTGGCACTGTGACTCAATATACGGAGATAGCCTAGTCCAGTATTGGCAGTAACTGAGTCACATTGGACTAATGCCACTTCAGCGGTTGTGTAAGCCTATGGAGAGTCAGGAGAATTTTCGAAGTATTTGCTAACAAAATTGGAAATGTTTCTCAGTCCTCCCAGATTCATGTCTTATCATCATTTTTGCAATGAATGACCTTCATTGAGATATGTGCAGGATTCACAACTTGCACCCAACAGCTCGATTTTTGAGGCAACATTTTGACCCCCGAAACTGTTTCTCGCATGATGCACGATTATCGCGAAAATAACACATCACGCGCAGTTTTTCAGTCAACAGTCTACAACTAAACATATCAAATGTGTTTCAACAAGTCACAGGTCAACTTAAGCACCTGTCACACCTTTGCGTATCCTAATTCCGTATGAGTTCCTTATCAAAAATTTTCAATACGCAGCCGTACGCTCAATTAACGTCGAAATGTTCTGATCACTTTGACTTATGTGCGACGCACATCTAGCGTACAAGTAACGAATTCAGCGCATCCATTGCGTATGAGGTGCGTATGAGTTGCGTATGCAGTGCACAACATTATTTTTCGGGCCGCGAATAGGTCAGTATGCAGTGCGCATGCCGAGCATATTCCGGACGCACCCGACTTATGCCGACCGCATGCCTGACGCACTTCTGAGCGTATTCCCGCCGCATTTCCGCCGCTCGCCGTTCAGCGTGCGTTGCATCTGCGCTGCAAGTACGCTTTGTATACGTCCAATACAGGCGGCTCATATGCTGACGGGGTGCGTCACGAACACATAGCGTACTCGTAACGCACTCGACCGATGCGGGACCGATGCGCTGCGTTTTTATAACTAATGACCTGCGTAACAGCGTACGCAGCGTAGTTTTGTGCATGCCCAAAACTATCCTGCGTACTGGGCCGTACCATGCGTATATCTGCGTACATAAAACCTACACAAAACGATAGAGATGCGTATGAGGTGCGTATTGTGCGTACGACTGCGTATGAAAAAAATGTCAATGCGCAACTCATAAGGAATTAGGATACCCAGAAGTGTGACAGGGCCCTCACATTCAGAAGTAGTGCGCATCTGCTTAAACGGAAATGTCCACACAAGCTTTAATGTGGGAAATGACCACGAAGATAACCCATTTTTTACACTAAATTCCTTGTATCTTCAGAACGGACGGTCTAAATCTGGGGGTTGCAGATTATGAAAATTTATTCTTCTGGCTTTAATCTATCAATGTCTAGCTTGGAAAAGCAAAAAAAACACTGACATTTTTTTTCTTGAAAATGTGGGGTACGAGGCAATTGCCTATGGAGCGGAACAGAAAATGACCGTTTGCAAGGCATGCAAGCTGTGGAGCTGTCTTTTGCGTGTTTGGGCCCCAAACTTTTCACTATAGGATGGTTGTGTGGACTTTTGTGTTTCCTATCTAAATACTCTTTCCAATTTACATCATTTCGGTTTAAACGCGCTTTGTAGACTGATTGGGTGGATTTTTAACTTTAACAATGACCAAAGTTAGAGGGAAAAACCTCGCAAAATGAGCTTTAACAAGCATTACCAATGTTACGAGGCGCATACGTATATTCCGTTACACGTACTATGCTTGACGGTTTCTAATAGGGATGCGAATGGGATACGGACGTCAGGGGAAAAAAGTTACTTTATCAATCATTCGTCTTTAAAGCTATTTAAACTGGCACATTGTGGGCAATAAGCATGTCACATCAAAATATATAAGCATCAACCTCACACTATACAGCAAAATATTAAGTGTATGGTTATCGACTCCAACATGGAAAACTATGGCGATTTTAGTTCAGAATAAACACAGAAGAAAACGTTCACACATTAATGAGGCAATAATCGAACGTACAGTCCCATGCCGGTTGGGCGCCCCCATAAGTTAAATACAAGTGCAGTCTATTTAAGGCCTCTTCGATTCCACTGTGGCCACCACGTGGTTGCACTTTGCTTTTTGTCAATTTTGGTCATTTTTAGTGAAAAGTAGACAATTTCACATTTTGTATTTAACTATTTTTAGCTATAAGGGCGTCATTTGCAATATTTGGGTATGAACTTTTGTTCGTAGTTTAGCCGCAACATGTTTTTCAATTATATTTGCTCTTGCAATTCATCACAAATCTCCACATGAGATGTTGCTGCTGGACATGATAATGATGCTAGTACTGCAGCTCATGATGTCGTTCCCATGTATTAAGCTCATTCGAAAGTAAAACCAAAAATATTTAAAACATGGGGGAGAGCACTCTAGAACAAATAAATCAAACTTCCCCATCGGTGTGGAACTGTTTATTTTTTTCATTAATTTGTTTAAATGTAATGACTTACCAAGCATTGGGAGGTGCTCCATAAAGAACTGCCCGTTACTTGCTTTCTCGGTGTATTGTAGGTCCATCTTACCAAAGAAACCGCGCCGATATATGTTGCAGTTCTCTGCAGACCACTGAACCCGGACAAATGAGCGATAGGTTGTTTTGGAACTACTCACACTGCTCACTACACCAACAGTGCCTGCTTTTCCTGTATTACCAAATCAACCGCAATGAGAAAAAGTCTATTCGTGGATATTCTCTGGCTTAGGCCTATTTATTTCAGGAGATATTGAATAAGACGAAGAACCGACATATGGGTCATTCCATGTCAGACCAACGCACTTTTTTACCTCATGTCTTCCGATTTTGATAAAAATTGCTGTGCTTATAGGTCCTGATGAGCAATGAATGCACACTAATTTTTAGCCCGATCTGACCTACCATGTGGTCAGGGCAGAAACCACAAATAACGGACATGTTTAGAGTAAAATACCACCCTTTTGGTGGAAATATGTCAAAACCATGTCAATTTTCATCGAATAAATGCGAATTTGGTATCAAAATCATAAGAATTGTATGCTCAAATCAACTCTTTTGTAAAAAATAAATTTTGTGAAAAGGAGGTCACGTGACCTTTAATATGTTATCGTGACCTTTGACCCAATTTATGTACTAATGTATCATTCCGAAAATCAACAAAATGGAAATGACTTGATAGAGCATGTCTTCCTCTATCTGAATCTACCAAAAATCAATTGGGGTCTTCAAAATTTACAACTTAATGACTATTTTTGTACAGTTGGTAGGTTACAAACGAGTAAATTTATAGAATTTACATTAGAAATCCACTCACACAACCTACTTTTCTGTTTCTAAAGCTACTTAAATTAAACTTGGTTTGGGAATTTCTCATGTTTAGGGCTGATGAGGTCTAACCAGACTCATAATGTAAATTATCAGCAGTGGCGCACCCAGGATTTTTGGGGGGGGGGGGGGCTCACAGATCTTTGTTTTCAAATTTCTTTAGAAAAATGCATTTGTGAAAAAAAAACCCAAAATCAAACAAACAAATTGACAACCTTGGAGGAACCCCCCCCCCCATGCCACTGATAATTAGTTATCCCACGAGTGCGCTTTGAATTGAGGCCTCCCCCCCCCCCCACCCCGGCCGGGGGTGCCACTGATAATTAGTTATCCCACGAGCGCGCTTGGAATATGAAACAATGCAGTGATGAATGAGTATAGGTAACTTTGATTGCGATATTGAGTATCTTCAATCAACCTTGAATCCTACCCCCTGATTAGTCCATCTATAGCAACAACAGTGTTATTTTAAATACTATTGCACAGCTATATTGCACCTCAGATATCGAATGTACATGTACATTTTTATTTGCATTTTTATTTGCATCTTTTTATTTGCTGCTGAACGGTCCGCTACACTATGCACCTACATCCCTCACATCACAACGTACAATGTACGCATTCGACGTCAAGTTTGCTTGAAGATAAATTCGTTAAGGCTAGTGGAACACAGAAAAATGTAGTGCGTCAGGTGGCATATGGGTCACAGCAGCATTGCATTGTTTCATATTCCAATATTCCAAGCGCGCTCGTGGGATAACTAAATATCAGTGGCACGGGGGGGGGGGGGCTCGGGGGGGGGCTCGGGGGGGGGGGGCTCGGGGGGGGTGCTCAAGGGTTTTGAACCCACCTCCTTAAAGGTTGTCAATTTGTTTGTTTGATTTTTGGGTAATTTTTTTTCACAATTGCAATCTTCTACAGAAATTTAAAAAAACAAAAAGCTATGAGCCCCCCCCCCCCCACCAAAAAAAGCCAAATCCTGGGTGCGCCACTGCTGATAATTTATATTATGAGTCTGGTTAGACCTCATCAGCCCTAAACATGAGAAATTCCCAAACCAAGACTAATTTAAGTAGCTTTAGAAACAGAATAGTAAGTTGTGTGGGTGGATTTCTAATGTAAATTGTATAAATTTACTCATTTGTAACCCACCAACTGTACACAAATAGTCATAAAGTTGTAAAAGTTGAAGACCCCAATTGATTGTTAGTAGATTCTGATAGAGGAAGACATGCTCTATCAATTCATTTTCATTTTGTTGATTTTCGGAATGATACATTAGTACATAAATTGGGTCAAAGGTCACGATAACATATTAAAGGTCACGTGACCTCCTTTTCCCAAAATTTAATTTTGACAAAAGAGTTGATTTGAGCATGCAATTCTTATTATTTTAATACCTAATTCGCATATATTCGATGAAAATTGACATGGTTTTGGCATATTTCTACGAAAAGGGTTGTATTGTACTCTAAAAATGTCCGTTTTTTGTGGTTTCTGCACTGACCACATGGTAGGTCGGATCGGGCTAAAAATTGGTGTGCATTCATTGCTCATCAAGACCTACAAGCACAGCAAGTTTTATTAAAATCGAAAGACATGAGGTAAAAAAGTGCGTTGGTCTGACATGGAATGACCCATATATTCAAAACGTAAAAAAAATAGTTTGTTTCCATTGAATTCTCTTAAACTTTGCTCTGGCGTTGGATTGAATCAAAATGGTCAGGAACCAAATCGTATAAAAGAGTTCGGGAATTATTCGGGATATTGATATTAAGATTAAGGCCTCGTTTACTTACCGTCCTGAATATCCGACGCCCAATCAGGCCCTCGCACAACTCGAGCTCCTGGAAAAATTCCAAACGCCATGCATTGTACCGCCCCATATCGACGAGGTACCCTGACACTGGAGACAAATAATCATCTAATAGATCATTATGCAGTGATTATTCAGCACCTTTTTTGAAGTCACCTGCAATTTTTTTTTATCGTGGAATCTGTGTACAACGTACCCCAAAACGTGGACAAAGACAGAGTTCATTCCGTTACAAAATGGTCGAAAAACGAGTTGCGAATGACAAGTTGATACCTGCCTAAAAGTGATTTTAATTGCGCTTCACTTTTGATGCCGTTGACATTTTATTTGACGGGGTTAACAGTCATCATAAGACCGTACGGTATAAAATATTGTAGCCTCTGTTAAAGACACTAATGCAATTTTTAGTGCAGGTTGCAATGTCGCAAAATTATCTGATTTCGGGGAGCTGGATCCCAATGTGATAGATACCAAACTTCTTCTTTTTTAAGATTGAAGGGGCATTGTCCTGAAAATATAAATATTAATAAAAATTCGGTGTGCAATGTTCTATGAAACTTTATAAAATATATAAAATCAAAAGTATGCACATACTGCCTTATATAAAGTACTAGCATAAGAAAAACATCTTTTTATATACCAAAGCATATCGCACGTTTGAGATTTAATGGGCATTATGGCTTAATATACTGAATAACATTGCAAGCGATTTTATTTAAATGCCTCTTTTTGTAAAATTTCTTCATACAAGACTACATTTGCTGAACATGTATGCTGTATAATCAATGAGTTTATACAACCATGGGGAAAATTGGATCGGTCGTATAAAGAAAACATCATGGACTACATCAGAGCAGACAATTTGAAAGTGTTGGTCCTACCCAGCCACACCAGGTTCATCTATCCTCAGAAACGGATGTTCCAGATCGTGTTTACACTCGTTGTAACAGTTGTGGCATAAATCGCAGTCATCACATCGCAGACACTTCCAACGAATTCCTTCCAAACCACTCTTGTCACAGCCATCGCAGATCACGTGTGAGTGTTTTACTCCTGTTCAATTAAGAGAAGGCTTTGGTTCTTTTTTCGCGGAGTTGTGGATAAACTTTTCCACCATATGTTAACGAGGCTTGTAAATCAATTTCAGTGTTGTGTTATGTAAGCTGTGTAAAATCCTACATGTTGTGAAATGCTGCAGTTGGGTTTAGAGTCATTTGCCTGGCTGTCAGTCATTATGACAAGACCTCAGTTTAATGTTGTAACGGAACATAGCGCCCATTTGCTTTGTTACAATTAGAGGTGTAGTAAATACGCAGCAACATGATCATTTTCAAACGTTGAATTGAAAGTATATCGAGACCACAATGACGAATATTTCTGGATCACGTGTTATTTGATAGACAAACTCACATTCTTTCAATTAGTAACAGACTTTTTTTGTTTGTCATCTTACAATAATTGCCCAGTTAAAGTCAACATGTTTTCGGTAAAAGTCAATGGCAAGGTGTGAAAAAAACCGCACGTTTTGCGCTACTTTGCGCAAGAAAACCTGCTATATCTTCCGAAGCATTTGTTGTTGTCATTTGGATCAAGCGGCATGTTGGAGTCTAATACTTTCTCATTACATTCATGTAAAACGTATGGTGATTGGTGAATTGTAAACCATTGCCTTAGTCAGTGGCGTAGCCAGGAATTTTTCACTGGGGGGGGGGGGGGGGGGGGGGGGGCTGGGGGGGGGCGCTGGGGGGGGGGCTGGAACATTTCATGGGGGGGGGGGCGTCATGTAGATCAATGATAATTTTTTTTATCATGGGGGAGGGGGCTGTCACCCCCTCCCCCCCCCCCGTGGCTACGCCACTGCAGGCCATACAGTTGAAGTTTATGTAAACTTGTATGAAAAGTCAAAGAAAAGTAACTCCCATGATCTATTTGACACCAAGTTTGTGTTAACTTGCCGGTAACGCCCTACAAAAATTATCCAGACAAATATGTTTATTTTGTAACATTTTTTGTTCGTTTGTCGGTCTTCTATGCTGTTATGTTTACTTTTAGGTACCTTCAATGGTACTATGTTTAATTAACCTGTTCATTTGTTTAATTAAACTAATAGCGCACATATAGTTGCCAAATATGGCACTAACAAGTTTGAGGTCGGCAATTTCGTCTTTAAAAATCTGGGTACGTCGGGTTACCATACACACAATTGTCCTGGAGACAACAATACCAAAGTACAGAAAGTCGTACGCAAGAGCTCCCCAGCAAGTATCGCTGACGCCATTATGATTCCAAAACTTCTCACTGTGTCAAACACTGAAATAACTAAACAGCGTCGTTGTATTGTGAACACATAAAGCATTCAAGTCGCGTTCTTGCACACTTTCTGCAAGTCGACATAGATATATCCTTGAACCACTGCCCCTGCTTTGCATAACAAGGGCACATCAATGAACGATTCGACTTTTATTCACAGAAATTTCTATGTACAGTAACCAGACTCTATTCAGTAAAGTCCCCATCAAAACGAAAGTAAAATATCCACGTGCATAACGCACGGCTACACCATCGTACAGTGTGGCAGGGACACCAACAAGTAACAAAACAACTAATTTTTTTTTATTAAATTGATAAATATTCTGATTGAATTTCGTTAAAAGATACTTATTGGTGAGGTATCACATATTCTAGCAAATTGATAAAAATGTACAATATTACAATCTGCAATTTTGAGGGAAATGGGCAAAATACTGCATAAATAATTTCACTTGATCATATTCATAATACACAAACCGACAATTTTCATTTTCAGACCCACAACGAGAAATATTGTTAACACTGGGCTTATTGTGAGGAGATGTGCTGGGAATCCATGAAGATGTTATTTTCAACATTATTTTCGGAGAACATCAATGAGGCAATCGAACAGTTCTCGTATCTTGTAATCCATGTGTCTATCAGTTCTAAGTTTCAAGTGGTGACACGTTAAAGGCTGTGCGACGGAGCTGCCTTGCAATTCATTCCTGAAATTATTGTTGCATTCCTATTAGTTCATTAACTTTATATTATAATCAACATTATTATCTATGATAACGAATTTGGCGGGAAACAAAGCTTTCACACAGTGACTTTACTGGTTTATTTAACTTTGTGGGGATTCCTCCAACGTGAGGCTTTTCCTTGGTTTCAACACCGGTGTCGGAGTCTCACAACACTAACTGGGGAAACCAAGTAAGCCAAATATTCTAGCTGAGCCGAGTGGGCACGGTACGAGCTATCGCTTCGCAGAGACGGCTGGACTGAAGCGGGAGCGGACCGCTACAGTGACGGGGAAGCAACAGCTGGACGGGGCCAGCGAGTGTACTGGATCACTCTAAAGTTCGAGCCATGGTGTGCATGGTCAACCGGGGCCAGTGGCGTAGCCAGGAATTTTTCAGAGGAGGGGGGGGGAGGCGCTGGGGGGCTGGAACATTTCATGGGGGGCGTCATGTAGATCAATTATAATTTTTTTAGAAACTCAAAATCTCAGTGGGGGGGGGCGACTGGGGGGGGGGGCGACAAGGTTTCATGGGGGGACTGTCGCCCCCCAGGCCCCCCCCCCCCCCCACGGCCCCCGTGGCTACGCCACTGGCCTTAGTCAATAGTAGTGTATTTCCAGCAGTAGACACCACGGTTTTATAATGCGAAATTCCGGTCCGTTGCTGTGTATGGGTGCGCTCGCGCGTAATATGTATTTATCATTTCAACACCATTCTACACAATAAACAATCAAATCATCCTGAATTTGGTATTTGTGCTTGCAGACCTTTAGCGCGGTGTATGACACGAGAGGGTCTTTGGTTGTATCATGGTCCCCAACTAGCCATGAGATGAACCCATGACATGGCAGATAAAGAGTTTGTGACTGTAGGTGCACGGTGATGTTGCAGAGTTCCAATATGGATCAGGTATAATGCTACCGTGTAAGGATCTGCGGGTAGGGATGATATTCCGTGCAACTCTGCCCATTGTCGCCATCTCGTGAAGGATGATCTGTACTGCGAGACTGTTGATGGGGCTTGTGACTCGAGTAGCATGGAAGGCAGTTGACTGGCGAGACTATATCCAGCTCTTGACTTTTGGCTGATGGAGGAATCCGCTGCCTCCAATTATCGCTGTTGAAGATGAGCTTCCAGAAAGGAAAATAACAATGATTGTTACTTTAACGAGATTAAAATCATGCGTGAACTTATTAAACACTTTCTTTATTATGTTCATTTAATAAAAGCGCATTTCCCACTGCTTATTGCTACAACTGTACTCTGAATACAAATAAAAGCTTATTTGCCAAATCTGAATCAACATCCGCTGGGGAGATCAATTGTAACTTTTACAATACCAAACATCCGCTGAGGATATCACCATATTTTGGTGTAAGTCTGCTGAGACTGTCTTGTTGGCGTTCTGAACGCATCTCGTTTTATACTTCTGTCAGAAACGACTCTGACCCTAACTTTATTGCCACGTAAACCACTAAACTCTTGTATGGTGATACTCGTGGCTTTCATATTAAACCAATGTGGTTATCTTGGCCAAGATTAGGCCAAGTAATAAACTAGGCTGACCATGCATGTTTCCATAGAAGGGTTAACTTGAGGCCAATTTCACTGTCTTCGATTCTCTCCGAGTCGAGCTTCGAGTCATCTCGCTATCTGACCGATGCCCAAATATTCTATTGAATCCCTTTTGTACTGCCAGTGCGTCCAGCGTCGGTGGAACAGTTTTGAAACTGAAGGAACTTTACTCCAAACAAGACTAGTGAACTTTGTTGAGAAACAGATGTAAATACATCAGTGAAACGGGATTCTAAATACCTTTGGACTTACGAATCTCAAGTTAAGCCTACTAGAACTAAATCTTCAATGGTTTTGAAGGAACTGGCAAGCTCAATCATCGTCTAAAAGACATCTTGTATTTCTACACTTCTCCGTCTTCGCACTAGACAAAAACACTAATCCAAATACTTGCTAATCCAAATACATTCTCCGCCTAAGTTGAGCATGTGCTCTCTGACTTTCTGAAAGCAATTGTTATAAGATGGAATAAGATGGCAAAATCTCTAAACCATCGTTAAGCAAGTCATCTATACATGACATGTATGCATAATTCTGCATTTCTCACCTTCTGAACCAACTTCCTCACCACTTCAACCCCGTTTTGTGCATTTTTAGAACCAACCACTTTTGGTTTGAGCACTGTGCTCTCTAGTCTATGGCTTTCTGAAGGAAACTGGAGTGTTCCAAGCCGTCCTCTAAGACAACTATCCTTGTTCTTGCAATTGCCCCCTTTTCCAGCGGTCGTACTATTTTGGTACACTCAATTTAAAGACACATATGATGGTAGGAATTGGAACAATTGGAAAAACCAATTTCTGTGAAACCCAGGAAAACCTGATTGGTCAAACGCTCACAAGGTGATATTAAGATTTTCAGATCAAACTTCAACGTGAATCAATGCATTGTCAAGGAACAAAGAAATATGGGCGTATCATCAAATTTGACTGATAGCGATGCCAGGGCTATCTACTCCCTTTTCGGACGACATTCAAATGTTAATTGTCACTGAATTGAAACTTACAAAGGATTAATGATAAACGGCTTTATTATGGGTTTCCAACAACTTATATGGCAGAACATCGATTCAATCTAGGGCCTATATTTCGTCTCAAACAAGTAGAGTGCGGGTTTTCAGAAATTGACCATTTTCTGGGACTGGTTACATCTTATAACAAAAGAACTAGTGTAAAAGTCCCCACAATTCACGGTGGGGAAGCAAATCTCCAGAACCCTCTTCGTTCGGAACCAGAATTCTCTCCGTTCTCAAAAAAATCTTCTGTGAATTTCAACATCTGCAACTACATTTTTGCAAATTAAAAAGACTGTAATTTAACTTAGCTTCGTAAACTGGCTTTCTGCTTTCTGCTTTCCGATCTTCGGTCCCTCTGCTATTGACGACTGTCTTGTCTTGATTGATTTGATACCGATGTAGGGGCGAGCTCTGTTGTCAATAGCCTTTAATGTAATGTAGCTTCTTAAAATGAGATGTCGAATTGACTTTAGGAGAGCAAAACTGCCGTCTCTCCCATTTGCTGATATAACGCAATGGAAGTACAGCGCCACAAAAATTGTGTGTTGTCGTTGCTGCTCGCAAGCGTGAAGTGATCTACCTTCAATCCAACCACGCACACATTCCTGTGCCACTCCCTATTCAAATTACCCGCCCTTAACCACTCTACCGTGTCTCATTTACATATCAATGATAAAGCAGATTTATTCTAATTCGTCCCGGTACTCAACCGAATAAATCAATATATACAGTGCTCCCATACACACACATAATGTAGGTATATGTACCGTGCATGTACAGAGCGCGCGTGTGCAGCGCGTGTAGCATTATTTGAGCGAGTGCTATGCGCTATGTTCCGATATAGGGCAAATGATTCCCATCCCAAAACACATCAGCCTTTTTTTCACAACATGCAGGACTTTACATAGTTTAAATAACAGAGCACTGAAATTGATTAAGGCAACAAACTTGGTCGCAGCGTCCGAAAATGTTGTTGTGATCAATCGACCATTTTGCAGTGATGCGTGACAGAAATTAAATGAAACTAATAGGGGTTAAGGCCAAGGATAAGGAGTATCTCGGGAATTGAAACAAATTCACAAATAGTCACTCAGACACTTTATTTGGGACATACTGTATATCTTATCTTTGCATGAGAATCCTTTTTCTTTCTGCTTTTTCGTTACCTTGTTGGGCGTTGTCGTATATCTGCAAGTCAACTTTGCCGCTTTCTCCCCCAGCGCGGTATTCGCCAAGAACACCGGAGTCCCAGCGTACCCAAACAGTAGAATCTGTGAAAATAGCATACGATATCTTTTCATAAAGCAGGCATCTCTTAATAATATTGTCTGCGAAAGAAAATACAAACTGCAAACACAACATTGAACACCAATATGCGGCGATATTGAAAAATGTATTCCAGTTACTTCTCTGTACCTCATTTTGATTTGAGAATCAATAATATTCCCTTCTACAGTCTACTACGGATTGCCTAGTAGGCCTAGTACGAAGTATACAGTGAACCAACTACTCGTTGCTACGCAACGAAGTAGAGGATAAATAAACGGTTGAAAGTGTGTGAACAATATGAGAAAGATCCCTACATTTGTAAATATGTTATAGGAGCTACATGCCTCTGCAAAATTTCATGTTAAAACACAATAAGCACGAAAGGATGAGATAGATTCAGGTTTCGATCATTAGTTACTCACTACTCTCTACTTCCCGTGCTGGGACCACCGTCCCGACGCATCCACATCCCCCGTCCTGATCATCCCACTCCCAATCTGGACCTCGTACAACCCGCATCCCAATACATGACCAGTCTTCTGTCGCCCTTCCTTCTGGAAAATCAGCAATGATTTTGTAAAAAAAAAAAAAGTTAATGATAGAAAACAGTATTATTTGAAAATTAATCTATATCGGCTCACCTAATTGAATAAGTAAATAACATGCTTTGAAAAGATTTTCGGTAAAACAACGAATAAATAGTATACCATCGAGGTCAAGTCCTCCGCCTTCCATGGCTGTTTTTCCTTGATCCAGGTCCTCCTTGGCACCAATCTGTTCCGCAAGTGTCTCCTTACGATCGCATTCACGATCTATGTCTTCCTGTCCTATCTCCCTTTCGTTTACTTGAACACCATAATCAAGTCCTGCTTCTGTGTTTAGTGTCTTTTGTTTCTCCCTGTCATCGCTTTCAAGACCAATGTCTTTCTTCATTGACTCCTTTTCAATATCTTGACCATTGCCTGAAACATTAATCGCAGGTCCTTGGTCTTCGGGGGAGGCTTTTCCTTGATCTGCATAACCTTCCTCTCCATTTATCTGTTTTCCCTGACCATCATGTGTATTTTCTTTGTTATCTTCTTCTGTCTTCTTTGTGCTTTCAGCTCCTGTTGCTCCTTTTTCTATGACCCCATTATCGCTTTCATTTCCTATGTCGCCCCTTGTTCTCTTCACTTCTTTTTCTGGAACATCACCTTCGCGTCCTTGGAATTCCATTTTTATTTTTTCTGTATCTCCACCAGTGGCTTCAGCTGCCTGCTTTTTGAGTTTACCATCGCTTTCAGAGCTTATTTTTCCAGTTTCATGTTTCATATTTCCGTGAGTCGTTTGCTGTGTTTCATCTAGACTGGCGTCTCCATGTCCACTGTCTTCTTTTTCTCTCCTTTCTTCAGTTTCTTGACCACCACTTTCAGGTACTTTGTCCATCTGCCTCGTTTCGTCATGCTTGTCTGCACCATCACCTCCACTTTGTCCGTAATCTTCATTTCAAAGAAACAGTTGATATGAATTTACATATACTTGAATCAAAGCTGATTACAAAGAATCATTTATACATGCTGCAGTTTATATAATGATATACATTTTGCGGTGTATATCTATAAAGGTTAAATAAAAACTTACGCCTACCTTGAATATTTTGTTTTTTTGCATCATCGAAGAACTGGCACCCCTCTTTGTATACATCTTCCGAGATTTTTACCTCAGAAATAGGTAGTTCGCTCTTGATTCGCGTCTGGAATAGACCCTTTTTGCAAGCTTCCCAAAACCTATCGAGGTCCTCACGACTTTCGACTCGCACAGTCAGCTGAACACATCCCTTTTGTAAGCCAATTGCCTCCAAATTGAATTCGTCTAAGACAGTCTTCAGAGTCGTGACTTGAGGCTCTGCCTTCAACAAGTCCAAAAGACGGTGAGTTCGACCTTCGTCCTTCTGCCCTTCCTTCATGCCAATCAACTTTACTGAAAATTCTGTTTTGGAATACACAATTTTGAATGGAATTAGGGAAGCGCATGAGCAATATTGCGCAACCCTCGATGCGCTTTTCCAGTGAAATGTGTGAATATCGGAAAGACCTAAAGGGTGAAATAGTGAATACAATGACGCTGACAGTAATACAGGATTGTTGGACATGGTACATACCATAACCGTAGTTAATACTGCAATCCTTCATATCTCCCCCAACAATTTGGCAGTTGGTCACGTTGAAGTTCATGACGATGTGTGGCGATTTAATTTGCGACTCTTGTTCTCCAACTAGTGTTCCACTGGGCTCTGTTTTCACTATCTGTAGATCAGCATTCTGAAACCAAACTCATCAATGAGACTTTTTCGAAAAAAAATTAGAAACGGAAGTGCCCTTGCTATGAAATTATGTAAGCATTATAACAATTGAAGAATATTCGAGTGTTTTGCCTTTCATGACAGACGTTGAAAACAGTGGTACCCGCTGCCATACAACATTCAGCCGACCCCGCAAAACGGTGATCGAATGGTTATGGGAGCATGCAAAATTAGACAAACAGTAGCTTGAGGTGTACCTCGAGATTTCACAAGGTTTCACAGGGTTTGGTGGGGTACCTCAGGGTTCAACCTCAAGCTACCCCTTGTTTTATTTTGCATTCTTCACTTAAGACGCCTGCACAGAGGAATACGAGGTTTGTGTTTGAGTTACAACCTAGCTACATTTAATATTTTTTCCCCCGCTCGCAACGTTGAGTATTCAGTGCTTAAAATTACGGCAATGAAAGATTAAAAAAATAAAATAGAACCTACCGCTATCGTTGTTTGCTCTTCATTGTTTGAAGTCGTTTGTGGATCTGAAGTTGGTTTTTCTTGCTCATCAATATCTTTGTCATGTAGCTGGAATCCAGTCACTTTCTCCAATTCTGAGTTAAATTAACAAAAGGAACAGGTGTTTTTGAAACCTTTGAAACACAAAAACAACAAAATGTATCAGTAATAAGTATTTTCTCTACCAGGTCTCGTAAGACCTTGCCAGGCTACTTGCTAAGCCTGCCTATCCATTTATGTCAACTCGACTCAAAAGGAGTGTTTATGGGTTAGGACGAAATACTCACCCTGTACCAGATCGTAGCGTTGAATCGCTTGCAATTTTTCCGCGAGCAGTTTTACATGTTCCTTCCCGGAGTTTTCCTCGCCCCATCTGTGAAGCATCCCTATGATTTGTCCTTGTTCATCGTTATCGTCTTTTGCTTTGAGCGCTAACTCGGCATCCAAACCTCTCCAGCTTATTCCATTCGTGCTGGCGAATAAATTCAGAACTTCGGAAGGCAACTCTGGCACACTCCCTGCAGAAGGTGAATTGTAACCATATGTAAAAGAATAATAAGAGATTTAGTAAGAACAAGAACTACTTTATTCGTCAGGCACTCTTGTGGTTGTTATATCGTAGCGCTGGTATTGAACATGAACCAGATTTACACGGAACAAAATTGTATGGATACAATTTCGCAATTTTGTGCGTGTAGTTGTCTTAGTGACTTACTGTTAGTTTGCAGCATGGTAACCACTTTTTCCGTGTTTGTTGAGTGAGATTGCATTTGTAAATTCGGACCGGTTTTGAATGGTTGCCTGGATTAATTCCAATCACAAATATATAAATAATAAAGAAGAACTTAAAGGCCATTCCTTTCAATTTTCCTCAATAATATTTAGACAATGATAGTATTTCGATAAACATTTGTCAGGGAGACTACTACTTACCATCCATTATTAACCGCTATCAATTAAATGTTACAGGGTTCCTGAAAAGACAATAAAGGAGAACAGTTAACCGTTTGCGTGTTTTTTAATTAAGTTTGAAACGTTTGACCTTTATTAAAAGAAGCACACGTATTTTAGAAGACCCCAAAATAGATGTTTTAGACGCAAGTTTCATGCACTAGCCCTCATTAGTGAGCCTCACGTGACCGTGTTTCAGCCAGCCAGGACAAAGAACCAGCAATAGGTGTGTTATAATCGATATTAGTTCCCCTCAGTATTGAAAGTTGACAAGCAACTTCCGATATCTCGGGTACCTAATATCGACTTTACTCAAACCAATGTGAATGTCCAAAACCGCATTGAATCACATTGCATGAAATGAAAAATGCGTTAGAAAATCTACCAAAAATTTCAAAAGCCATTGTCGTTAAGCCCCTCTCACACCTTTGCGTACATCCTAATTCCTTATGAGTTCCTTATCAAAAAATTTCAAAACGTAGCCGTACGCTCAATTAACGTCGAAATATTTTGATCACTTTGACTTATGTGCGACGCACATCTAGCGTACAAGTAACGAATTCAGCGCATCCATTGCGTTTGAGATGCGTATGAGTTGCGTATGCAGTGCACAACATTATGATTTGGGCTGCGAATAGGTCAGTATGCAGTGCGCATGCCGAGCGTATTCCGGACGCACCCGATTTATGCCGACCGCATGCTTGACGCACTTCTGAGCATTTCCGCCGCTCGCCGTCTAGCGTGCGTTGCATCTCCGCTGCAAGTACGTTATGTATACGTCCAATACAGGCGGCTCATATGCTGACAGGGTGCGTCACGAACACATAGCGTACTCGTAACGCACTCGACCGATGCGGGACCGATGCGCTGCGTATTTATAACTTATGACCTGCGTATAACAGCGTACGCAGCGTAGTTTTGTGCATGCCCAAAGCTATCCTGCGTACTGGGCCGTACCATGCGTATATCTGCGTACATAAAACCTACACAAAACGATAGAGATGCATATGAGGTGCGTATTGTGCGTACGACTGCGTATGAAAAAAAAAAGTCAATGCGCAACTCATAAGGAATTAGGAAACGCAGAAGTGTGACAGGGCCCTTAGATTTTTAGACAAGTCAGCTGTAGGTTGCAGACGTGTATTTAGAATGATAACAAAACACTTTGACTCTAACTACTTGACCAATTCTAAAGAGGGGCCCGTATCACAATCGCCATTTTATCTTGTCGCGGTCTTTTAAGTTCAATGGCGTTGACTGGGAAGAAATCTAAATTGGTGGGCGTGAAGGGTGCAGTGTTCAAACGATTTTCAATGCATAAAAGATGGTCCTGGTGGATTTTAAAAATGATGAAAGTACATTGATTTTATGACAATTTATCTAAACAAAATATTGCTGGTGTACGCAATGTTAACCTCCCCTCGGGTCATTTTCTCTTAATTTGTCCTGGATTTCTCGCTTTTTTCTAAAATCGTCATAAGTAAATACCATCCAGCATAATTGGGTTTTGTATAAACAAAACAAAAAAATAATAGGGTTACTTTCCGCGGTGCTTGGTCGACGTGGCCGTCCGTGTACCGCATTCCGCGTAACATCGCTTGTGTACGTCGCGTTGGAGCAGCTAGCCCGTGATTCAGCCCGCAATTCGGCCCAAAATTTGGTGGATGATACCCCGATTCACACGGTTTTTTTTCACTTGTGCGGAAAGGAGCCCAGCTAATAACAATTATGCTTGATAGTATTACTTGTGACGATTTTAGAGGGTTCTCTCAAGAAAAAAAGCTAGAAATCCGGACGAGTTGAGCGAAAGTGACCTGAATTATTGACCCCCTTACGCGTATCAATGGACCGCTTTGCTTCTTGCCTCACGGCCTTTATTTGCATACATTATCATTTTCGGGTGAAAAGGTCTATTGCTTGCTGCGACAAAGAAATGTTTCTCTTTTGTGTGACCGTGCACAAAATGGAGATGTCAAATGTCAGTGTGTGTTATTTCCTTTTAACTTTGCAATGCAGTGTTGCATGAAGACTTAGCCTCAAGTTAACACGTTGAAGCCAGTCGTACACGCAATGCAGAATGTAGGGCAACATTATTTATGAAAAAAAACCCACTATTTTTATACATGGTTAATAACGACCGTAAATAACACGCTTCCTTTGAATCATTTATTTATTAGTCACATGGTTTATTAATTATTTTAATTGCAACGTTAGTTTGCTTCAAATGATGATTTAAAGCTGATTATGTATGCAGGATTGTACACTGAAAACATATTGGTCGTTCCAGTTCAAATTGTTATTCTCGGGTGTATTTATTTATTTCTGATTTTTTACCAGGGTAGCCTGTTCACAAAATAATGTGGTCTTCCACGGGGCCCTGAGCATATCATCTAAAAATTAATAAAAACAAAAACTAGTCACATGGTTTATTAATTATTTTAATTGCAACGTTAGTTTGCTTCAAATGATGATTTAAAGCTGATTATGTATGCAGGATTGTACACTGAAAACATATTGGTCGTTCCAGTTCAAATTGTTATTCTCGGGTGTATTTATTTATTTCTGATTTTTTACCGGGGTAGCCTGTTCACAAAATAATGTGGTCTTCCACGGGGCCCTGAGCATATCATCTAAAAATTAATAAAAACAAAAACTAACAATTTAAAGGATTAAAAGTGTATAAAATTATCAAAACAGATAGGAAATAAGATCATATAAAACTATAACCGTTAAATTATAATCATTAAATAAAAGATACATGAACGGGTTTAACATAAACAATATAAATGTGTATATGAGAACGACGATAGACACAAGTGCAGATTAAAAAGTTTAATTTAAGAATAAAATCACAAAATAAGTCCTACATGCAAATACAAACGAAAAACAAGTAAAAAAAAAACTATTGTAGATAATAAAAACAGTAAAAATGAGTACATGCATCCCTTACATGCTAAAAACAAAAACAAAACAAGCAAGCAAGCACCCCAACAAACAAACAAACAAACACCCAAACACCCCTAACAACCCAACAAACACCCCAACAAACATCCCCCCCCCAAAAAAGGAGAAAATTGCAAGTGAATAAGACAATAAAATGGAGTACACTTAACATGCTAAAAAAACGTACAATTAAAACAATTATTTGAAGCAACCTAAACGGTTAAAAAGTTGTTTCATTATTGACTTAAAAGAACCAATTGAGGCTGCTGAACGTGTTTCTTTATTTAATCTATTCCAGACAGTAGCCCCAGCAACAAAAGGACTAAGCATTCTGATTTATATTTAGGAATGAACAGGGTGTCCTCAGTTGCATGTCTGGTGGAGTGATGGTGCATGTCAGATATTTTAATGAAATCTTCTGTCAGGTAGGTAGGGGCAAGATTGTTGGTACATTTGTACATGAGTACTGCTCGCAGGTAGCAAAATCGTTTTGGTAACGGCATCCAGCCTAGTGTATTTAATAATTCACTTGAAGGAGTATCATACCCTTTACCTAGAATTAATCTGGCAGCACGTTTTTGGAGTTTAAACAGCTTGTCTGTGTGCATGTTTAATCTTTCTGACCAGATTTGCGAACAGTAATCAAAATGGGGTAAGATAAACGCATTATAAAGTAATTTGACAGAGTCAGCCGGAATATATGGTTTCACCCGGCGAATAATACCCAATTTTGCCTGTACAGTACTCACAACCTTGTCTATCTGATCAGTCCATTTCATCTCATCATCAATGATCACCCCTAGACATTTGGTTTAATGAACTCTTTTCAGAACAATGTCATTTATCTCCACTCTGAAATCGACGACGTCTTTGAGTTTTGCTGTAGATCCTATGATCATCACATTGGTTTTATCATAATTTAAAACAAGACGACTTGTATTCAGCCAGCTAGAGATCTGCATCTAGGCAACAGATAATTTGTGTTCAACATCCGCAGTCGTCTTGCCATTAACTGTGAGAGTTGTGTATGGTTTCACGGTGGCACGGTAGGCCAATATTGTACACGTAGGCCTGCATATTACAGTGTACATGTATGTGGATGAGGCAAATAACTGTAATGACATGTCTAAGTTGTTTTTATTTGCACAATAGCACGTTCCGTGATGTGTTCAATGATTGATTATGTGTTACAACTGATAATGTAATAACCAACGGATAACGTATCACCAACCAATAATGTATCACAAATTGACCGATATTGTATCACTAACCGATAAGGTAGCAAAAATTGACTGATAGTGTAGTACAATTTGTATCCGATAATGTATCACGTGTCGACGGATAATGTAACTACAAAATAACTGTATCCGATAATGTATCACCTCGGAACGGATACTGTAACAACCGATAAAGTATCAAACTCAACCGATAATGTAACAGGATGGGGAAAAGGTGTACACAAATGTTTTGACCGGGGAGGGGGGTCCGGG